TTGCGAAATGGTGAAAAAAAAGAGTTAAAACAAAAGAAAATGAAAAGAAAAAATCACTAATACAGCAGAAAGAGGAGAAAAAGACGAATTAAATTAAAACTTTATAGTATAGCCGCGCGACATGATTTCATGATTTGCTTGAGCGCGTTCTATGGTCTGTCTTTTTCTCTTTTCTCCCTTTGACTGTACACTATATAAATTCAATTGAAGGCAACTTTGTTGCTAAATTCTATTTCTTCTTCGCCATCTATGACTCGCGAGTGTGCTGTTTTTTTCCCTTGTGCGCGCGTTTCATTTTGGAGCTATAATCACACGAATGGCGATGAAGAACATAATAATAAAGTGAAGAAAAAAATGGCTAATTTTTGCGCGATGCAATCATGTGAATAAAAATTCAAGTTTAAAAATGCCCTAATGAAGCGAAACGAGTGAGCTTCCATTTCGTTTTGCATGTAATTGCATGAAAACCATTGTGGTTTTTTCTTCGTGTTTGTCTTTCGCTAGAAAAGAAGTGTCGATGATCGCATTTGAAATTATGTATGCCCAAAAGTGATATGCTTACTTTTCATGTATTGCTTCTTTCGGTAGATCCGGAAGTGCGACATGTGTTGTTTATCTGGCATTTTTTTGCGACCCATTGAATGTGTGCGGAAGAGTCCTTTGCTGTGGGGGGAAAGGTGATCCCTTGAGGGTGAAGCTGAATAAGTGTCTTCATTAGAAACACCTGACATTGCAATGTTTTAGGTCACTGTTTTATCTCTGGCACAGATTGTTGGTATTTTGCCGGAATTTCCATTAAAAAATTTATTTATTCAGCTTCAACTGGATGTGTGACGGGCATGTGTGTGCTTGAGAAGATATAGAGAGGGAAAGAATGATGTGTATTATTTTATGCATAAAATCCCATACTGAGAGGCTTATCATTGACTTTCATCGGACCCATTTATATAGTTTCCCAGTAACTAAAAACAACACAAGCAACTGTTGTACGAGAAGTCAATGGATACATTGAAATCGTTGATCTGCTTCAAAATAAAATTAAGACAAAAAAGGAGAAAAAAAAGAGACTGGCTAATAGCATTCAGAAATGCACATGTGGTTCTGTGTGAGTCGGCATTTCTTTCTTAATTCATGTTTTATAGCCAAAGTGCAATTGTGTTTGCAAATATTCATCATTGAATGCTCTCAATTAATTAAAATAATTAATAATTATTTGTATGGTTGGCGCGCGTTTATTATAAAACTACTCAATGGAATTTATAGACATTGAAAGATTTAAGAAAGCGCAATGCTGTTGATTCTCATGTGGATACATATGGTGGGATGTAAAATGCAGACGCCTCCTCAAATTTTATACTCTACATAATGTTTTCCATTCCGGGCTCATAAATTTATTACTTGGACTTTTTGTGCCGTCCCAGCATTCGCTTTATATTACTCTCAGTTTGTATTTCCGAATGAAACCCAAAAAAAAACAGGGAGGAATAAAGTGGCAATTGAAAGTGCTTCGAGTCTCGCTATAATTCTAATTCATGATCATAACGAGTATGGATAAATATGGTAGCATTAAATACGGAGTTTTATTTAATAAAAATATATAGAGAAACTCCTCTTTTACCTTTTCTTCTGCTCGGCGTGCTCTGGATATTTTCAAATTCTCGCTTAAGATTCAACTTTAGCATTTATGCCATAGTCGAGATATTAAGCTTTTGCACAGAGTTTACCCCAAAACGTGAGTTACTGACTAATAAAGTGTTGAACTTTTTGTAGTTGCTGAAGTTGAGTGAATTTTTTGAGGCGTGATTGACGTTCAAAAATTTCTAACTTCTTCTATTTAATGGTTGAGTGAATATATCTTGAATAGCAAAGTAACTTTTATTTTCGTTTCTCACCCTAAAATATTCGCTTACTCATATCCGTAATGAGGAAAGTAATAAATTTCTTCTAGGAAATTTCGCCTATAACTTCGTGCAAAAGAAATATCAGCGTGACGTTTGTGCATTTATAATATTTTCTTGGGTGTACCATCCCTAAAACGTGATGTAACTATTGATTAGACTTTTTCTTCGATGAAATTGAATTTTTGCAATCATGACTGTTTTTCTTGCACGTACTTTCAAGAAGTGCAATATATTTCAGGCGCAGGCAAAAGGGTGAACGCCAGAGAGAGAGAAGATGTGGTGGAATAAATGAAAAATGTACTTTCAGTTCTCGTGAAGAAAGTAATAAATTTTAAAAGACTACAACATCTTCTCGCTGCAAATTGTTAAATTGTGCGCGGGCTTGTGTCTGTTTTGTGCCATCCCAACTGGGATGGTTTTTCGTCATATGTTATGTTTTTAAGTAGTTTTGAATGATATATTGAAAAATCGTTTTTGTCTCTGTTGCAAACGCTCGCGTGAATGTCGAAAAAAAGGTCTGAGCGAATAAATTAGAGGATTGAAAAAAGTCTATGAGCCGAATGAGTCATCCATCGCAACATGTATACGCTGTGGTTATAGCCACAGCTTGATTCATGCTTGTATACATAGAGATTCACGTGCATTTTTTGGCGTGCTGCTTGAATGAGTGATCAGTCTGGTACAGTGAAACACAATGTTTCTATGTACATCACTTCTTGAGGAATGGTGGAAGAAATTTCTTCCTGATTGATATACTATGGCTATAGTTTGATTTAATCTTCCACTACGATGGCGTTATTACAGTGTGAAGCTCCAGATACTGGGGCATTACATAATCAAAGTCATAGTGAGAGACTATAATAGCCTCCAGCTATTTGTCTTTCATGATGTCTAATATAAATTGAAATTTTCTCTTTGCCATTCTTCACTGTTTTTCCTCCACCGTGCGATAGATGTTTAATGACCTTATGGAGAGTGATTCGATGAGTCATACCCACGTGGGGTTTACACTTTGATTTGCGCCTTTGGTGTATTTTCTCCTCTGGGTGTGCAATAATTAATCATTAGCTAGAAGAGTGGTGCTGTGAGGCCTAATAATTCGTTCTTCTTCAGAATCGCTCCCTTTTTCACTGATCATTATTATAATATTCAAGCACAATGTGGAAGGCACCAAGAGATCTCCCTTAAAAATTCACGGTGGATTTCAATAAAGCATGAACAAGTGGATGTTGAAGGCGCTGATGCCGAGAGGAATGGAATATGTATTAGCAATTACACGAGAAGAGGTAGCATTATGAGTTATTGTATTGTATAGGCAATGTGCAGAACTGCACAATTTCTGGGCAGAGAAAAGCCCCTCGGGCTTTCGTGATAATCTGTCCTAAAAGCAGAATTCCGACTTTTTAATTGCCGACAAATCCATACTGCGTGAAAGCTTAAGCCGGCGGTTCTAGTGTCCGGTTTTCGCGCAATTAACCTCCCTAAAGTCAAATTATCCCAAATTGTCTCTTCACATCTCGCTTTCTATTGTCATCCCCCATTGAGATTTGCAGCTTTTGTCTGGCTCTATCGGGCAGACTCATCAGGAAATGCATTAGTGGGAATGCACAGAGTGCACTTCGGAAACCACAAAATGCACCAAAACGACTAACAGCAATTTATCTCTTCGACAGTGTTATATTTCAACCTATGAATTTATCGTTTCGGTAATATGAGAATATTGCAACATTTAAATTTATGTGTTATTAAGTGTATAAATGATACTTTAAAAAAGTTTATTGAACAGATGTAAAGTGTTTTTTTGCTGTTAGAAAATGATTGAACTGCTTAAATTAGGATTATTCTTAGCAAACCTGCAGAAAATCATTTCCTCATTTTCGGATCATTATAAATACTTGTGTAGAGAACATATTCTTGTAACTCATGTACAATTTCTGAGCTTTGTTGTTGTACACAAAAATTTCTATTGAAAATCAAATCCTCATTCGATTCAGTGTGTGTTTTTTTTCCATGTATTAAAGTCTAAATTTCACCGAGTTCAGGGTCAATTTGGCTGACCTTCTTGCCTTTTTTGTGTTCGACACACAGTGGATTACACAATAATTACAGAATAATTACATTACACAGAAGAACTGCAGGGAGGAAGATTTCGCTTGCTCATGCAATATCTGTATATGGCATCATCTGTGAAAGTCACTGGTTAGAATCTACATGAAGGTTGTGACCTTTTCCTCAGCTGGAGCAAAGATGTTATGGCTAATTTTAGAGAATGAGATCTCCCCGAAAGAAGTGGTATTTTTATAGAGAAATCTCTCAACTCACGATGAATTGTCGGGATTTCGCTTCTTCTCATATATTTTTTTTTCCTTCGTTCTGACGATGGAAAAGAATGTTGTGCATGTAACGGCATAAATCACTTCTCTTGGTACCCAACGTCCAATCATTTTCATGTTGTAAAACAGCAGTGCGCGCAGAGCGAATATTTGAGAAATGGTGGAAGGAAATGGGAGAAAAAGTGAAATAATTAAAACAAGTAACTGTCAATTGCCTAGTTACTCACTTTAGTGAAACTTGGCTTGTGTGAATTCTTGTGGGCTCTTTTTATAGGCACCACAAGAAATCTCATTAGATGGATTTTTGGGTGAAAGAGCGTTGGAAGAGAGAAGAGTGAAAGATGAAATTTTTCTGATAGGAACGCACATGTGGTATATATTTTGCTGAAAAATAGATGATCTTTCTCTCAGTGCTCTTTCCCTGCTTTTGTTGCAATCTCTCATGAGAGAAGAAGAAAAAAAAAACAGTATAGTAAAAGTCACTCTGCAATGTCTTTTCTATATAAATTTTGTATTACTTTTCACTCGGTGTAGCAGAAAACAGCACTAAAAATCCATCGGTCAACGCCATTCAATTATTAATGGACATGTGTGTGATCTTATAGGGAGAGAAAGAGAGAAAGAAGGTGAATTAGAGAGTGGAAATATATTGAGTCTATTTATTTCAGACTATTAATTCTCTGGACACCACTAATTAGAGCACTGTGAAGAATATGTGAAAGAATTCTGTGAGAATCTAATGCTGAATTACCATATTTCATTGCAGACACTTCGTCGTGCATCTCGCAATACTTGGTGGACAGGGCGAAGGCGGACGGTTCCACTGACAACATCACCATCATCATCGTTTTCCTGAAGGATCCGGCGATTATCGGGAAATCCGTGGCTGATTGGGCGCAGCAGCAAGTGGCCATGGAAACGGAGTATGCAACCAACAATGATCCACTGTACGCTTCTGATCAAATCATCGGCACGGCCGGTGGGACTCTGGGGTCCGAGGAGGAGGAGGACAGTTTGAACAACCTGGTGAAGTCTGCACCGTCGCCGCTGGGGAGTGCTGTGACTGGGGATTTGCTTGTGGATGAGAATAACTTCTATTGTGATACGAATCTGAATGGATCTGGCGTGAACATTGTGCCGGAGGTGCTTCAGTCGTCGACAGGGAAGCGTCCAGCTGCGGACAACAATGACGAGGAGGGTGATTTGGGACCAGAGACAGATGTGGATGCTGGTGATGAGATTATGCTGAGTCCGGAGGAGGAGGAGGAGTCCAGTGCGGCGGCGAAGGAGGAGAAGCAGTTTGAGCCAAAAGAAACGGATGCCAGTGAGGAGTCGCCAGAAGACTACAATCCCTTCATCACACACTCCAATGAGGAGCAATTTGAAGTGCGCCAGGAGAATATTCTCAACTTTGCCAGTGACTTCAGTGCACCAATCTCAGGAGATTTACCGCCAATGCAGCACAATCCCTTCGACATTCCAGTGAATGAGAGTGAGGAGGATGCCTTCCATGTGACGGCGCACAATGCTGAGATTCCTCATGAGTTCAGTCAGGCTGACGATGTGCAAACGCCCAACACTGTGGAGTCCATGGAGAGTGATTATCTGAACCAAAATGTGGACGTAACGGATGATTGCGAGACAATCAGAAATGTTCCAGAATTGGTGGAACAATTGCCGGAAGTGGCCAATGATGAGATTTCTCTCTTTGGCAAGAACCTCGACGCCCTGCAGGCATTTAATGAGGCAACACCTCAAGATGAGAATTTCGACGAGAGCCATGAAATGCCGGCCGGCATGGACGTGGTGATGGGAGAGCAGCAACAGGAAGTCAGTGAGGAAGTGTCGGATGTTCTCGCGGAAACGCAGCAGAGTGCTCCTGATCAGCCTCAGCAGGAACACCTGGAAGATGTCAGTTGTGAGATCACCTCAGCACAGAGTAAGTGTTAATGGCTATATTTTAACCATTTCAAAATAAATTGCGTGGGGAATGAGGATAAACAGACGGGGCGAGAACGCGAGTGGGTTAAAAATACAATCTTGAACACTTTCTCTCTGCTTAAAAGCAGTTTGAAGTTCAGATTGAGGATTTTAATTGAAAACCTTGATATACATTTGTATGTAGATTTAAATGAACTCAGAGAATTCAGTAAATATCCCAATTTCGACCAAAAAGAGTGTAGATTAAGAGCACTGTTGAGTTTGAAGGTGAAAGAGCAAAGAACAGGTAGTCTAATTTTGATGTAGTGAGAAAGATCCTTAAACCATTGGTTCTTATTGGCGGAAAATCACATTTATTATTCGTATTTGCATATGCGAGAGTGTTATTTTTTGTACGAGACTGTAATTTTGAATTTGGAGAAACCCTTCAGAGGGTGGGATTTGGGTGGTTTCTCACTCACCACTTGCGCCGCCATGGTGTTGAGCGGAAAATCAAAATGACAATGGAGACGGTAGCGCCTCGCACCGGCAGTCTCAGTAAGATAAGCGAATTTCACAGGAATCCCTCGAATTTGTAATCGTCTGTTTGATAGTTTTATTGTGAAAAATCAATCAATAATTGTTCGTCTCAGTATTGTACGGTCCTTCTGCTGCACGTAAACGTAGAAATTAGTGCGAGGTGTGGTATACTTCGTGAGATATTGGGGAGTGAAAAAGTAGCAGCAGGCGGCGGCAGACATTTGCGCGACGAAAATAGAGGAGAAATGGTATGTCTGTGCGAAAATCTCTTTATTTATAAGCTCCCTTTTCGTTTGTTTTATTTTTAAACCTCCCTCCGGTGTGCAATACGATGAGTTGAGGATGTATTGACAATGCAAAGGGCAGAAGTTGTGGGATTTCGCGGAGAAATTGGTGAGTTAATTCGGGGCGAAGTGTACATGGCTGCTGAATGTTGGGTTAAGTGAAGTGCGGAGATGCGAAAAAGGGAGCAAAAAAAGTGCCCCCAGGGATGATCAGTCGCTCAATTATATCAATAATGTGGAGAGGTATTTACTTAGTTGGGTTGAATAGCATTTGGTTGGGTCGCCATGGAGTTTGTTGGCAAACTTTGGGTGTGAAACGCCGCCCAGAGAGAGAGAGAGAGTCTCGCTCGGAATTAAAAGGTGGAGGACGTCTTCCTCTGTAACACTCCGCTTGTTGCTTTGCATTCCAACTGTGGGTGATCTCTCTTTATGGCGAGACGCAGTTCTTTTTTGTCCGCCTCTCCGGACGCGCTGCAATGAAAGCCATACTTTGGGACTTTAGTGAGATAGTGCGATGGGAACAACTTCCGGATGATAAATATTTATGAATTTCAAACGCAATGCTTGCCGAAAGAGAGCAATTTGATGCCGCTGAAATGGCAAATATACGTGAGAGTGCTTCTCATGGTCAAATATCGGCAGAGATTTCGTAATTTGACACTCTTTTTTCTCCGCTCTCTCATGAGATCGATTTGTGGTACAAAATTATGTAAAATTTCACAACACCCACAGTGGCGCCCAAAATTGTTTGTACGTCTCTGAATAATATATTCTCAATGTTTTGCGTGTTGAATGAACTTGAGAGCAGCGAAATTACAATTGTGTCTCGTTTGCTAGAACAAGAATTGAGATAAATCGTAGGGATTTTCCCCACTGGGATGAATCATTGAAATTCAGTGGTAGTTTGTATCATTTTGGCTGCAACTGTTGACGATTGATATGGAATATAAAATTATTGCAAATGTTAAATATGTAACATTTATTCACTCTTTCTCTCTCGATGACTATTACAGAATCTGACAGTGTGGTGGCGGAATTAGCAAGTGACACACCAGCGACTGAAAGTGGAGCAATTGTTGAGAGCGAAGAGGAGTCCGACGAGGAGTGGAATTACATTAAGGGGGAGCACCAGAAGGAGCTGAAAGTGAAGGAATCTCACGCAATTTCGCAAGCAATTGCTGAGTCTCAAGAGGCCTGTTCAGATGTAAGTCATTCAACCCACTAAAGAGATTTGCAACTAGTCTATATTTCTCTCTTATCCTACATGAAAATTTTTCATCCTACTCGAACTAGTTTTTTTTTTCTTTTTCTTCTTCTGTTTTGTCTCACATGTTCTCATTTCTCACCTCAAATCGCTGGTCAAATGCAAATTTTTCCCAGTGGTTTGAATATATGTAGTTTATGCTTGTGGACACATTTATTATTCCTCATAATTTCCCAACAACTTCACCTTTTTTTTCATTATCTATACATATATATTTATGGTGTGTTTTCGCCTCTGTGAAAGCAATTGTATGGCTTTCTGCATTAATGCAATCTCATAAATTTTCACAGCTTATTAACGAGGACGCCTTGTCTGAGAGGGAACAAGAACAAGAACTGGTGGATTTGGAGAAGAAGGAGGACAGTGACGACGCAATGGCATCTAAATTGAATCCCGACGCCCAGGAGTTTGTTCCATCATCGCCAGTTAACAACTCTGTGGGTGGAATGAAGGAGAACAATCATCACTTCAATATTCTGGGGTCGGATGAGATTCTGGCGCAGAGTCCGAGGAAGGGCAATGGTCAGCCTGACAATGCACTGTTTGATCTGCCCGATGCGGATCAGTTCAATGCAGACATTTTAAAGTGTCCCAATGAAATGGATGGAGTGTTCTTGCCACAGTCGCCGACAAACTACCAGGAGATCAACCTGAAGGAGGCGATGCATGGCGATGAGAAGAAGGACGAGAGTGTGGAGGACACGTCAGAGAAGTCACCTCAGTCGACAGATGACCAAATCAATGATATTATCAAAAATATTCCCTCTGCACTGACCATCGGTGATACGGTGCCTGATGAAAAGGACCCCATGAACATGTCCTATCACCAGGACATAAACGATGGATCCTTCTCGACTGATCCGCACGATATGAACTCAGTGCACTTGCTTCCGTCGAAGGAGGAGCTCGAGGATGCATCTGAGGAGGACAACAAGGACAATGCTGATGTGGGCGATGAAGCGCTGAAGGCCGAAGAGGATATGTTCCAGAGTGAGCCTGAGCGCGAATTTGTGGCTGAGTCAGAGAAGCCAGAGTCGGAATTGGAAGCGGCATCAGTGTTGTTGGACTTCGCGCAGCAGAAGCCAGTGATGGCGGACTTATTGGTTGATACAGTGCCTCAGGGTCACGTTGATGTGACAGACTTAGATTCGGACTTTACAGGAATGGTGGATCAGGCGAAGTTATCACCGGATGCTGAGGAGTTTGTGCCCAATAACAGGGTGGAATCACAGGGTGTAGATTTGAGTTCATTGCCAGAGTCTGAGTTCACGGGCAAGAGTCAATTGGAGGAGAAGGAGATGACTGTTGAGGACTCACCGGAGTCGGATCACTGTTTCCTCAAGGATTCGGCGACTGATTTGCTGGTGACACAGGAGGCTGTGGTGCAGAGCAAAGTGGAGACTCCGCCACCAACACCTGCCGCCACGAATAATGGAATGATTGAGATTTCTCAGCGTCTGACTAGTCCTGAACCCCAGAAGCTCATGGAGGCGATGGAGAAATTGGCAGAGCCATTGGCTGAGGAGACCAAACCGGAGGAGAAGATTATCGAGGAAGTGAGTAAGACTGAGAAGGAGGAGGAATCTGTGCTTCCGGCTGTGGCTGCTGTTGCTGGATTGGCTGTTGCGGGTGCTGCAGTGGTTGCTGTAACGGCGACCAAAGAGGAGGTGAAGAAGAAGACAGCAAAGGCGGTAGAAAGTTCCAAAAAGGAAGAGCCAAAGGCTAAGCCTCGCACAACTAAGCCGGCGAGTGCTGGTGCAAAGCCGGCAGCAACTGCAGCGCCCAGGACGTCCGTTGGGACAAAGGCTGCTCCAGCTGCGGGAAAAGTGTCTCCAGTGAAGCCGCCATCCACACTCACAGCGCGTCCAAGATCAAGTCCAGCGACCACAGCCACGAAGTCTCCAGTCACAGCGACAGCCAAGTCGCCCCTGACAACAGCCAGGAAGCCTCTGACATCACCCTCAGCCGCCGCGAAATCGCCATTGGCCACATCTGCTGCTCCCAAGACGACATTGGCCTCTCGCACGTCAACCACAAGATCACCCCTGACCAAACCAAATTCTGCCACGGCCACGAGGACAGCGACTGGCGTGACTGCACCCAAGACGAGCAGCAGCACTGGAGCGACGAGTGGAGTGAGGAAGACAACTTCCACGACTTCGACAGTGTCAACCACAAAGTGAGTTTCCTGCATGACGTACAGAAAGTTTTATAGTCTTATATCAACACTTTTCCAATTAACTTTTTCCAGAAGTTTTCAGAAAAGTTTCTGATGGAGTTTGCAAAGAGATTGTTGTTGGAAATTCATTTTATGCTCAACTGCTTGGTGTCATTGAGAAACTTATTGCAAGGTTTCATTGTGCAATATTGCATTATTGTTTCCTTTTTGTCCTCATTTATTCAAATTTATGAAGATATATACATTTGGAATTTGAAACGCAAGATGGTGAAGTTTCTCAATGAGTGAGCAGAGAATTAATTTGTTTTCTCGGAACGAAAGCGCTTTTTTATGAAGCATTAAATTACTATTTTACAATGCATTTAATAATATAAAAATATGCGCTGTAAAAGTATAGTTCGAAAGATTGTTGAGGGTTGATAAGTGACATTTTTCATGTTCTCTCTGTGGCTTTTCAGGAATCTGTCGACAAAACCAACAGTGCTGTCGGCACGGCCCAAAGTGTCTTCGACAGGTGCTACGACGGGAACGAGCTCTACCACGACAACAGTGGCGAAAACAACACGCACGACACTCTCGACAGCCAAGCCGAGAGTTCCGAGTGCAACGACAACAACTACGACTCGAACAGTGTCTGCAGTGAAGGATAGCAAGGATGTGGCGAGCAAATTGGCGCCCAAAACAACATCACGACCACTATCGGCAACCACGAAATCTCTTGCGCCCAAGCCCACAATCACATCGACTTTGAGGAAGACAGCTGAAGCCACATCCAAGGTGAGTTCATTGTTGCTTAATCCTGGATTAACTAGAGAAAATACTAGACATTGAGTGAGGGAGAGAAGATTAAAGCCACTGTGAATGACTCACTTTTTTCATGTCAAGTGCTCAATGGTTTTTTTTTTATGTGTGTAATATTATAATTCTTTGGGGTATTTGGAGCAGATGTTGTATAATCAATATTAATTGTTTCGTTTCCTTTCACTCTCTTCTCTCTTTCTCGCTTATTCAATTAGGTTTCAGCCACCACAACTTCGAAGAATGGCGTGAAGACGACCACGACAACCACCACCTCGACTGCTAAGAGGCCGGGATCTCTGACGTCGCGCACGACAACAACAACAACCAAAAAGACAACAACCACGAAAGTGGGTGCAGCGGCGACGGAGAAGAAGCCAGTGGCAGCTGTGACGGAAATTAAGACGATTGAGGTGATGGAGAAGCTGTCGAATGGTGATTTGCTGCACTTGGAGGAGAAGGTGGACGGTGTCGATGTGAAGAAGGAGGTGGAATCTCAGAAAATTCTGGACAATGCAGCACAATTGATAATTGACCTCAAGAACGACTAAGTAGCTTTGAGTCTCTCTGAAAAGATTTTGTCACTTGAACTTCATCATCACTACTTTATGAAACTAGGGAAACACAGAAAATGGGAGGGAAGAGAGAGAGAGAGAGAGAGAAAAGAAGGGAGATTGGATGGATTGTGGGTGTGAAGATAGATGAGAATATTGAACTTATAAACTATTAAATACTGTCCCTTCGTGTGACGTTGTAATATGATTTATATGTGGGGAGATGAGGAGTTGTGAACAAATGAAGAAAAAAAATATTTTAATTGATATTCTGGGCACAACGAGGGATTTTGTATCCTATAAGTTTTAGCTGCAGTTGAAATAATAACTTGTGTTTATCGTTTTCTCAATATGAAGAGAGCGATTGTTTTAAGTTTGTTTCATTTAGGGATCGAAGATAAATCAAAAAAAAAATGTTCGCTTTGCACATTTCATTAAATGTATTTTATTCTACCATTTTGTTTGTCAAAAAGGGACGAAATATTACCTTAGCCTTTATCCAAAAAAAACACGTAATCTGATATGCATACATTGAAATATAAAATTATCGCAATACTAATAATTCAATATTGAATAAATAATGGTCAATGGACGGAGGACTTAGGGAAGAGAGAGTGTACTGAAGAAGTGTATTATTGAAATGATGAATGAGAAATACAGATGTGGAAGTAGTGATTAAATCTATGTGCTTATCCTACAGACGAGGAAATAGATTTCTGAGAAGGATTTTGCGTGAGAAAATACTAGAAAAAATATGCACGTAAAATTGTAATTCTTCAAAACAAATCCTTATTAATCACATACAATTTTAACACATAAACTATAAAGACGACAAGAGCGATGATAAAGTAAGTGGAAGAATGTTGTCTGACGCGCTGCTTGGTATTGAATTTCATTTATAAAATGAATTTGACGGCTTCAATAGACTTTTTGATGCGATAAGAGACACGCACGGAAGGACGAATTCGGTGGCAAAGAATTGAGTCAGATCAAATTAATGTTTCGAGTTGCCTGTTGAATGTTGCTTTGCCTTATTACAGTTTTTACTATGTATTTTAAAAATAACAGTGAGTAAATAACAATTTTGAAAGATAATATTAACAAGTATAATATCATAATGCAAGAAATGGAAAGTGCGAGCAATTTAAACTTATAGTTTTTTTTTTCCTTCTACGATGTCGTTTGACTTACGAAAATTATGAAGTATTAATAGGAATTTCAATATCTTTATTTGACTTTCTCTTGTAATGATTCTGTTTAGACTGGCAAAGACTTTTCTGTTAATTATGTTTCATCCAAAAAAAAAAAATTATGTTTGTCCTTTGAAAATGAATGTGTTGACAATGACAAAAATTGGCTAAAATATGTACTCAGTTTCTCGTGCAGGACAAAAAGGAAGGGAGTTTGAGAGGAAAAAAATCACAGATTTACATAAATTTACTAAATTAGTGAAATTGCACGAAGAAAATTATTGTGGCTTTGTTTTTATCAAATGCTTTTGGATTTTATTTTTAATTGAGAAATGAAAAAAAAAACTTCATCATTTTAGAAAGCTTATCCTTTTCCTTGATGATTTTACTAGAGATATTACTACAACAAAATTTAACTCAATTGAAGAAATTCAGCACGTTTTATTTTTTATTTTTTTTGGGAAATGCGACACAGCAAAAAATGAAGTTTATATTTGAAAGAGAAAAAAAATTACAAGAACAAAACGTATAACATAAGATTTTTCTAGATTGTAAAGCATTTCTTACATATATTATTTTGATATAAAATATATTTATAAATTTTATGGAGGACATCATCTTGTCTTTTACACCACGAAGCGATTTCCGTACTCCAGCAGGCAATCGCGGATGTTCTGCTGGCACAGCACGTAGTCCCGAAACGGAGGCACCAGAACGTCGCTCATGAGCTTGAGGATCTCAATGTACTTGCGAACGGCCTCGTCCACACTTCCGCCGCGATGGAGTCTCTCAGCTGTGCGGTTCATCACGTCGATGTCCTGCATCGCCTTGAGGCCCTTCAGTAGGTTCGTGAACTCTCCGCAGTCCACGCAGCGGATCATGAAGTCGTTGGTCTCCACAGGCACGCAAATCACCTTTCCGCAGTCGTTCTTGCTGTCGCAGCGGAAGCGCAGGAAGTCGTTCTTCATGTCCTGAAAGACAAGTGATACAATTAACTGATGGTTATTTGATAATCAGCTGCTTTACCTCAAAAAGAGGCCAATTCTCCTGACACGCCGTGCACATGCAGTCGAAGTAGTAGATTTGCTTCAGCGTTTCATGTCTCTGCTCGCGATCTTCCTGCGTGTACAGTGGTCCGTAGTTCTCAGCCACGATTTCGCCAGCCTTGATGTTCTTAATGGCGTGCACGAAGACCCGATTTCCGCGGAAGTAGCGCACAATACCTGGATCGCAGGAGTGATTAAAGAGTGCCACGGTGGGATACAGAGCTCCGCCGATGAAGATCGTCTTGCGATCGGGACTCAGCGGTGTCTTGCCGGTGCGCAGTTCAAAGACTTCATGAGTGTTGAACTGAAGAACTTGCAGGGTTCTCAAGATGAAGCCAGACATCTCATTGAACACATCCTCACTCGGATGATCGGCGAAAAAGTCGCCAGCCGCCAGACATTTCGCGAGAAAATAAGCCATGACGGCGTGCTGAAAGACATCATTCACCGATCGCTGTTTCACATCCACCTTAAAGAGGTTGCAGACTTTGCGGAAGTCGCTGTTGGGGAACTTTAGTCGCTGCTCGAAGGGATAATCTCCGCCGTTTGCCACGAGTTCGTCGCGTATCTTCAGGAAGTAGTCAACATTCTTCTGTGCCAGAGTTCGGAGGCTCAAGTGGCAGATGATCGACGTGCCCGATCGCCAGAGAATCGGCAAGATGCCACACTCGTGCCGATGGTAAGTCTTCACAGCGATCTCACGACACTCGGCCGAGCAGAAGAGCGCATCTGAGCACGTGGCGCAGCAAAGTGGCGCCAAGAACCTCATAAAGCAGTGATGGCAGTGCGACTTCGCGCTCCTCTCCAGGAGAGCTGAACAGTGAGGCAGTTCAGCCACGATTGTCTCACCAACGTTTATGTCTGCAGAAGCCTTGGCGAATCTTCCCTCGCTCTCACTGAAGTCATACGCGAGGGAAGGATGAGTCTGAGAGACATCTTCCTTCTTCACTTTCTGCTTGCTCTTCTTCTGGCCACACTTTTCGATGGTCTTTGTCAGCATCTTCACCATGATCTGAGCATCGCGCTCCATCTTTGCATGTTTATCCTCCGGAAGTTTCGCATCGTCCAAGGCAGTGATTGTTTTCCTGCAAAATGGTCAAGAGATCAATTTGAGAAATACTTCAAATTCCACTCAGAGAAATTGTGAAAAAGAAGTTACTTAAAAGCCTGGAGAGCTTCTTCGTGTTTCTCCTGAGCCAGGTAACATCTCGCCTCACGTTCTATCAGCTTATATCGCATCTCCCTGGGATAGTTCGCCTCGATGGCCCTTGCAATGTCCTTCAGTGCCAAATCGTGCTTCTCCATGTGATAAAGAGCCGCTGATCTGTTGGCGAAAATCACCGCCAAATTGCCTTCTTCATCGCTCGGTGTTGTGAAGTAGCTTTGATTGTAGAGATCAAGGGATTTCCGCCACTCCTTCTTCTGGAAGGCATTATTTCCCTCTTTCTTCAGTGCCAAAGCCTTTTCCAAGCACTTCACTGTCTTTTCACGCGGCACAGTGAGACTTTTCACTGCCGAGAGGCGCGACACAAATTCACATCTCTCCCGATCAGTGGTGGCTTTGGAAAATCCTTCAAATTCCGCAGAAGACACAGAATTGACCACATTATTGCAGAAGGTCTTGAAGAAATCTTGCGTCTGTACTATATTTTCCATATTATTGCTCCAAATTGAAGAAATTCAGCAGAGTTTTCGGCACAGAGAGAAAAACGTGAAAAATGTGAAAGATCTATTTATAACTGACACGATCACGTGTAGTTACGAAGATCCCATCGATTTTCTATGTGTGCAGTACTAGATCGTATTTGAATTGAAATAAACGATCTTCTCTTCACAGCCAGCAAACGATCGCAAAGTGATCATTGTTTCAAAAAATGACAATTTACCTAAATTATCATGTGAACTTTTCATAAAGGCATGTGAATTGCCCAGGTCAGCTATAAACTAGTCTTGGCGTTCGCTTATCACGTCCTTTATTCTTCTTGCTAAATAGTATTGCCAATGTTGCAATGCACATATTTGTCTGACCTTAAGTCTCTAATGGGTTAATAGGAAATCGATGTGATCGAGCAATGGCGATGAAGTTGGTCGAAGTACCAGATTTTTCGCGGGCGAACGATCGTCGGCATTCAGTCGTTTGTTTTGCCTCCATGCGTGCTGACGTGCCGGAGTTCATCGCTCAGTGAATATTATCATAATTGCACTTTACACGGAGATCATCTGCCTTTTCCACAGTTCCTTTGTGATATTGACACTGGATGGGCGCTTGGAGTGATTTACAGCCAATTTTGAAGTGAATCAGCCATGCATCGGCACTTTTATACATCAGCAGTGCTTCAAGTATCTCTCCTGGTCTTGATCTTCTGTGCTCCAGCGAAAGGTCAATACGGTAAGTTTGTCAAAAACAAGATCAAGAAGCAATCTTGACTTTGGGATCATTTATTGGGTTGATCAGTTATATAAGATTGTTTTCTCCAATTTCCCGCTATTGAAACATCACAAGTCTGATTGATAAGCTGGGGATCTTTTCTCGCTCCTCATCAAGTGGATTTGCAAAAATGAAACGCGGGTATTTCCCACAGCGATTGATGTTTGGAATTTACATTAGCATGACAAAATAGGCACAATAATAGTTTAGAGTGTTTCCCAAATGTCTTTTCTCTCTCTCACCTTACTATCACCAAACTGTACACTGCAACACATCTCAGCGACACGAATAGTCATTCTGTGTGCCCAAATTTAAAGCCAAGGTCTCTCAGGGTCTTTCTCAACGACATTTTTGATGGGAAGTTGTCTCTTTCCAGAGGGTGACTCATGCACACTGGACAGCGACGGCTCGGCAGGAATATGTACATCGATTAGAAACTGCCCTCAGGTTCTGAACAGTCAAAATGCCACTCCGCAGCGATGTGCCTTCATTGGATTCGATGAAATTGTGTGTTGTCCAGCACAATCTGGCCCATCATTCAGCCAGACTCCGTCCATCTCCACAAACTTCGCCCCTGCATCTCAGTCAAACACCCCCAACAATCCCAACAATCCATCTTTTGGCAGCAGTGAAGAGTCTGGATTCGTCAATATACGCGGCGACGACGGAACGGACAGGATAAGCAAGAGAAGTATGTGTGTTTAATTGAGTTTCTTATCAAGCAAGTCACTTTGAGATGTTTTGCGCAATTCCAAGAATTCAGTTTTGACCAAAAAAAAAGCTCGTCATTAGCAGTAACAATGTGTTAATTTGGATCGTGATCATGTAAATTATGTACATTCATTTCCCCTCAGTGTCTAGTTAAATCACTGTGTGATACCATGGTTGACAAGCATCACAAGCATGTTGAGAATTCTTTATTAATTCTGGGAATTGTAATACCTATTTTGCTGCAGAGTAATCACATTCACACCGTAAACAGTTTAGATTAGAATAAATTAAAGCAAGGGAGTTAATCACAATGAAGATTTGAATTTCTTGCTTTATAACCGGAATTAATTGAACAAGAATGATCTTAGATTTCACAGCTGGTGTATAAATTTTCACTTTTTCAAAACATTTCCATTGAATAAGTAGATGAATGAAAAATGGGTAATTAATTCACTTTGAACTGATTATATCTTCTCAAAGTTCTACTAAAGCAATTCATTCAGGTAATTTTTTAACCGCATTTTCAGATAAGATCATGTAAATCTACATAAAGAATAATGTATTATAAATTGATTTATTGTTAGCTTTAAAATAATAATGAATGAAAGAAACTGCGTATCTTCTCGCTTAGTGGCATGTGTCTTACATTATATTATCATGTCATATAATGTTCTGTCAATAGCAATTAAGAATCAAGAAAAACGTGATTTCATAGAAGCTTCAGAAGGAAAAAAGTACCCCCAAAAATTGCGTTTGGCCAAAACACAAGAAGAAAAAATACAGAAAACCTTGTGAAGGAGAAATTAAAATTGTTATTAAACATAACAATCTCTACAAATATTTTTAAAATAGTTATTGTATATTCTTGCCGTGCGAAGACTAATTGTGTGAATTTGCAAAGCTACTTTTTACTGCCTCTGTCGCAGAAGAATTAGCAAATTCTCATGTATAAATGATGATGGTGTGAACAGGCCAGTAATCTTTATGCATTGATTTTTGTAAACCAACATTCACCGTTACTTTAGGAATATTTTAAGCTTCACAGGATTTATAAGACATTCGTCTTCTTCACAGAATGCGACGAGTATTCCAAATTGACCACCAGCAAGTTCGCCTTTGTGCCACTCGTGATTGATCCTCCTGTTTATGAGGTGGAAGTTCCTCAGTGTGATTACAGCGTGCCGCTAATTGTGGGCGGAGAAGAAGCTAAATTGGCGGAATTTCCCCACATGGCGGTTCTTGGGTGGGACAGCGAGAGCGTAAGTCAGGTCATCGAATGGAACTGTGGCGGTGTCCTGATCTCTGAAGACATGATTCTCACCGCGGGTCATTGCGCACATTTCCGAGGGTGAGTGTGGAGCGTCAATCTCTCTAAGTTAAGACAGTGTTGAACAAAGAACCTGAATGATTTCAGAGTCCCACCAAAGTACGTCCGTCTCGGAGATCACAACTTGGCAGAGGCTGACGATGGTGCTGATCCTCAGCAGTTCACCGTGCGAGAAGTGATCAAGCATCCAGAATATCGACCACCGGCGACGTACAATGATATCGCCCTGATTCGGATAGAAGGACGACCGAGATTGAATAAGTTCGTGAGACCGGCGTGCTTGTGGCAAACCGCCAATATCAACTACACTCAGTGTGTGGCCACTGGATGGGGGCAGATTGACTTCTCGGGTCCCAAGTCCGACACCTTGCTCAAAGTCACGCTGGACATCATCTCCAATGATAATTGCTCGCCTCTCTTCGACATCAATCGAAGGCTACGCCTGGGCATTGTCGAGACACAAATGTGCGCAGGCTACTTGGACGGCGGCAAGGACACATGCCAGGGTGACTCAGGTGGACCGATCCAGGTGGTGACGCCGGGCAATATCTGCATCTTCCACGTTGTCGGCATCACGTCGTTCGGCAAGTCCTGCGGCGGAGCGAACACGCCAGGAGTGTACACGAGGGTGTCAGCATACTTAGACTGGATAGAGTCCGTGGTGTGGCCGGGGCAGTAGTCTGAGAACTACCGTGCCCCCGTGTGTGAGATATAACAATTTAATATGCAATATATAATGTTTTATACACTGTACTTCCCGACCTTGGTGTAGAAATCTTTCGCTGTATCGCTTGATCATTATAGTCGATGCGCAACAGGTTGTTTGTGTCTGATTAAAGGCATGTGTTTCTCGTGGGGGGGAACACTTCCCGAAAAACCGCTTCAGCCGAGCAACATTAGTGGTCGAGTGATCGTCATGGCGACAGTTGCCTGGTTAGTGCTCGCGAGTTGCTTGCTCAATGCAGTGCAATCGAAGCCCGAGCGCGGCTCGATTATATATCCCAAGGATGAATTTCCACCGGAGAGCAATTGTATTCGTCATTCCGCGGATAAATTCCAGTTCTGCGCCAACAGTCCCACAACCGATTGCCCATCGCTGGATTTGGGACATGGCAGTGCCTTTGGACACGCTCTCCTGGGAGAGGTCTTCGAGAACAAGAGGATTGTGTGGAGATGCGCAGGATCACTCTTGGCGCCTCAATTCGTGATCACTTCTGCCCACTGCATCACCAGCTTGGACAACATCAAACACGTTCGCATCACTTCGAGCGCCACGGAGACAAATGAAGTCAAATCAACTGATGTCTCAATCAATCACACAATTCTCCACCCGGCTTATCACGCCAAGAAGCTCTACTTTGACGTGGCCATTGTCCGTCTCAACAGATCAGTGACGAACTTTCAACCGATGTTCCTGCCCACGTCTGACCTGATGAATCAGACATTTTACTTGACAGGATGGGCAAAAGCCCAGCGCAATGAATACAATGTCGCTCTTGATCCAATGGAGATGATCACAAATGACAAGTGTTCAACTTTTTTCCATCTTCCTGAGCTGAGAAATGGCATTCTGGCCAATCAAGTGTGCGGAAAAATTCCTGAAAAGAGCTACATAAAGCCCTGCACAGGTTCAATCTTGAGATCACTCGAAACCACCACACACATTTTGGTGGGCATTCCATCATTCACCTTCGGTTGCACCAATGAGCGGCCCCTCGTCTTCACCAACATCGTCTTCTTCTCACCCTGGATCAGGACAATGGTGGAGAACTTCTGGCAAGGAGACTGCGGATTTCCAGAGAAGAGATAATTGCAAACGGACAGTGACAAACAACCATATATCAATAATATAATAACTAAGTTTCTGACAGATTCGGAGAATCCCAAGAATAAATTTATCTTGCCCAGGAATGCAAATATGACATGGGACAAACGAGTGTGGGCACTTGTTAAATGACTGGTCAACTGGCAAGATTGCCCACAAGTGATAATAAATAAATAAGCACCTGACGAAGAATGAAATTCACAAAAACAGGTTTATGTCGTTTTTATGTGATTTCCTCCTAGGTCGCATTGTGAGGTGGCCGAAGCATCCACAGCGATCTCGTCGCTTATTCAGTGCAAAACTCTCTCAGCACTTAGTGGAAAAATGATTATCGTGACGCTGTTGCTAGTTCTACTACAAATATCTCTCAGTTCTTTGACTGTTGGCCAAGGTAACGTCCAGTTATACATGTAATTGTGCTTCTTCCTTTGCTCACAGTCGCCTTTTCTCCCCTTAAAGCTGACATTCTGTTTCGGGATGACTCCCCAGAGGTGGGCAGTGAATGTCAGAAATCCGCAGGAAGTGGCATATGTGTATTCCCCGACAAATGTCGCGTCACCGCCGAAATGATCAATATGGGACAGCCAGAAATTTGCTTTTTCCATCTCCAACGAATACCAGTGGTGTGCTGTCCCAATGCGAACTTAATTAGTGATACGCCCGAACCTGTGCCACCTTCGCCTGCTGCACCTGTGTCTGTTGCACCAGTGCCTGTTACACCAGTGGCGACGCCCGTTTCATCTTTCCTGGATGATCTTCCTGCTTCCACAACTTCCAGTTCTTCAACCACAACATCTTCTACAACCACCACCCCTTCAACTACCACGACTCCACCTCCCGAAACGAGTACCAGCAGGGTCACTCAACCAGCGAGAAGAACCACTGCTTCTACCAAACCCTCCCAATCGTCTGAGAGTCCAACAGAACATCTCTCAATGAGACTGAGTGATAAGAAATGCATAGAGTACTCTCAGAACTACACAGGGAAGGAAAAGCTCTACTATGGTATCGTCCAGGGAGACTTTGCGGGTATTAGAGAGTTTCCTCACATGGCAGCAATTGGAGCGCAAGATCCAGGAGGAAGTGACATCATTTATTACTGCGGAGGAAGTCTTATTAGTGAAAAATACATTCTAACAGCCGCTCATTGTCTCACGAGAGGCAGTCCATCGACTGTCCGTCTGGGAGATCGCGATCTCTCAGCAACTGAAGACGATGCTGATGTCAAGGAGTATGAAATTGATAGAGTATTTGTTCATCCTCGCTATCGCAGTGCCTCTGTGTACAACGATCTGGCACTACTGAAACTCACTGAGGCAGTCAAATTCACACCCTACATCCGCCCAACTTGCCTTAACACCTTAATGAACCCCAATCAAACGGTTCTAATAGCCTCGGGTTGGGGACACACTGCATTTGGTGGAAATGAGTCGGCAGTGCTGCAAAAAGTCCCCCTGGATGTCTTCACAACTGAGCAGTGTGCCACTCATTACACACCACAAAGAAGACTCGCTGATGGACTGCAAGAGACGCAGCTTTGTGCAGGATCAAGCAGTGACGGGAGAGATACTTGCCAAGGGGATTCAGGTAAGGATGCGCAATTTTATTGAAATAGTCTGAATTCAGAATTGTGACTTGTTTCTTTTCCAGGTGGACCCCTTGCATACTCCAAATATATTCCTGAGATCAAAACTAGCATGCACTATTTAGTGGGAATTACATCCTTCGGCAAGAGTTGCGGTGCCATGATCCCGGCTATTTACACCCGCGTTTATTCCTACCTCGATTGGATCGAGAGCATTGCCTGGTCATAACTGGATAAAGCATAATTATTCTCAAGTGTTGTGATTGAAGATTGTCTTGTCTACAGTTACAGATAATAAAAAGTATATAGACTTTGTGGGCACTGAAACAGGTTTACATAAAACACGATTTGTTGTGTTTTCTTTTGAACTAGAAGGCATCGTCTCGGAGCAGCAAAAGTTTTACATTCACTGAGTTTTACAGTACCAAATGAATCCTTGTCCAATTCACTTCTGTTCACCGCTGTTTTAGTTTTTGAAATGATTGGACTGTTTAGAATTTTGACAAGTGAGATTAATTGTATTTTGCTGCTTTTTGTGTTGCTATTTTTGTTTTCGCCTTCAAAAAGTCAATCAGGTAAATAAATTTTTAGAAAATATTCACTGACGTTGATCATATTTTCTGAAAACTGACCAATTTATTCAAGATGACCTCAATGAGAAGAGAATCAGCGAGAAGAGTAAGCATGAATGCCTTCCACATCCACGAGATGTCTATTTGCATTTTATTAACTCTGGTATTTCTGAAATTTAAAGAATGCGAGGAATATGCGAAATATGCGATCGTAGAGAGCTTCTTCACCCCACTATTGCTGGATGGGCCCACATTTTCCGTCGGTGTGGCTGAATGCAAATATGATAGTCCATTAATTGTGGGCGGGGAAGAGGCTCAATTGGCTGAATTTCCTCACATGGCTGTGGTCGGATGGAACAGCAGCAGGGATAGTGATATTGAGTGGGGCTGCGGAGGTGTTTTGATCTCTGAGGACGTCATCTTAACAGCCGCTCACTGTAGTCTTAAGTATCACTGACTCAAATTTAGTGATATTGCATGGAATCTAATTGCATGATCTTTCAGGCAAAAACCAGAGTATGTGCGACTTGGTGATCACAATCTTGTCAAGGATGATGAAGGAGCTGAGCCTCAGCAATTCACAATCAAAGAGATTATGAGACATCCAGAATTTCACGTGCCGCAGAAATACAACGACATCGCTCTTATACGCATTAGAGAAGCAGCAAAATTGGGAAAATTCGTGAGACCAGCTTGTCTTTGGCAGTCTGAAACTATCAATTATACACACGCGATAGCCACTGGTTGGGGTCAAATAGAATATTCTGGGCCTAAATCTGACGTTCTTCTGAAAGTAGCACTCAATATCACGTCCAATGAGAAGTGCAATGCTCAGTTTGATATCACTCGAACACTCCCCAAGGGAATTATCGAGTCTCAGCTGTGTGCGGGCTTCGAGGGCAGTGCAAAAGACACTTGCCAGGGTGATTCAGGTGGGCCAATTCAGGTGGTAGCGCCTGGGAACAATTGTATTTTCCACATTTTGGGGATTGTGTCGACGGGAAAGTTCTGCGGCAGCGGCAATACCCCGGGAATTTACACAAGGGTGTCATCCTACCTAAATTGGATAGAATCTGTGGTGTGGCCCCAATGAAGACCGCTATATAACACCATAAAAAAAATTACGAAATTAAACCGTTGACAGAGGATTGTAAACTCATGTATTAAAACTTCCCGGCATCATTGGTATTCCTCGAGTAAAATACCCAGTGATGCTAAAGAATTCCCCATTAAAAGCTCTGCCTTTACACCACTCTATGAAATAATTACACCTTCGGTTTTGGCACGATCGTGGGGATGATAAAGGTATAATATCATTTATAAAAAGGCTGTCATCAAACGATGAGGATCAGTGTTCGTCACGCAGCTGATACACTTCGATGGCGTCTACCATGGCGAAAATCATCATCTTGCTCGTGTTTGCGAGTGTCTTAATCAGTGCCGGGCAGTTTGTGTTCGATCCTGATTTGATCGTCTTCCCAGACGACACCAATCAACTGGGCAGCAAGTGTCTTCGTCAATCCGACGGGAAGTTGGGCATTTGCTCCAAAATTAAGGATTGCCCTGGCTTTCCCAAGGGCACGGTCGCCAATATTTGCGATCTAACCGCTCAAACTGTGTGCTGTGCTCTGGAGAACCTCAACATCACCGGAGATCGCACGCAACCTGGGAACCAGATCAAGGTGTAATCGCATGGAACCACAGCAAATTGTTCTGTACGAAGATGAAGACACAATAAAGTGACGATAAGAAAGGTCACATCATCCAGCAGCAATAACAATCATTTTCATTTTACACTTTAAGAGCCTAATTTATGAAAATAAAATTCATTTAACAATGTCAGTGGGTGAAATAAACTATAAAAAAGAAACTCTTTTTTTCGATAAAGCCTGCTAAATTTTTTTAACTTAATAAAATCTGATTATCTTTTATGGTGATTCAAGTGTGATATTTACAAAAAAAATGTCAAGGAATTTATCATCAAAAGAAATTGTTATGACTCGAATGCTGATTAGTATTCACCACATGTCGATATGTATGCATATACTTAACACGTTTCCTATTTTATTTTAGTATTTAACTTGTCATTAAATTTCCTAAGAATCAATCTTTACAAGACATGTGCCAATGAATTAAGCACAATACTGTAACATTGTATGTCTTTCAATAAATATTATCCAGCTAAATACAGGTTTCTCGTGGTGCTGACTGCATAGTCATTATCTCTCAAGTATTTTGTACATCTCCTGCCAAAAATTTCATAAGACATTTTGTAATACCTTTAATTACACAAGCGCAGATAAATTTATGATAGGATTAATTCATCTTTCACATGACATTAAAGAGATTTTAACACAAAAACCGTGGGCTTTTGGAATCAAACAGGTTCCATTAGAAATATGCACACAGGAAATATTCGTACCGAATTGATCTTGAAAATCGTTCAATCTCAAGATTGAACATATCATTATGTTCACGTTTTTCCTACTCGTAAAATCTGGGCCATAGAGGATCGATTATGGTTTTTCGGCATGTGATGTTTTTGCTATTTGTCACTGGTGGTGATTAATTATTTGCTCGCGCAGCTTTTCGATGGCTGGATTCTCCCAGTGGAGGCAATGACTCAATCTAATGATGGAATCTTGAACGAACTTTTTGGTTGATTTTCATTGTGCAACTCCTGGACAATCCCCTCCAACGTTGCTCACTTTCCAAGGCATTGGGTTCATCTTTTTCTGATACGCGATAAATGGCTAAACGTGATAGAGAAGAGGTGAATGGTGGTGGGCATTTCAGGGCTACCAGGTAAAAGATGACAGAAGATTTTCTACAAAACGCAAAAAAGCATGCGCCAGTTTAATTGAATTCACAAACAGGTTTACGCGCCATGACGTTATTTCCCTGGTCAATTCAGAGGTGTCCGAGGCATCCACACTAGTCGGCTCTCTTATTTTGTCAAGAACGCTCATGAGACATACATGAGAATGTATCAAGTTGTGTGGTGGCTGTTTATTTTTCCATTTCCTCCCAGTGCCGCGCAAGGTAAGTGTACGCGATAAGTGTGGTAATTATGTGACATCTTCACGAGATTCCGTGCCTTTCAGACGGCATTGTCTTCAGGGATGACTCGCTCGATGTGGGAAGTCCCTGCACTAATCCCTCGGGCAGAGGCACTTGCATGTTTCTCGAAAACTGCGGCATTTCCATCCGTGAAATGTATAATCGTCAGCCATCGATTTGCTACTTCCATCAGCAACGCATACCCGTGATTTGCTGTCCCACCGACAACGTTATCAATCTCAACATCAACATAAATGTACAGCAAACTCCACAGACGATACAGCAAATACCAATTATGAGTGATTATCCTAATATTCCAACTAATCCTCCATCTGCCTTTCCTGCATTTGCAACTCCAGCAACTTCTACTCCTCCAGCCACTTCTGCCCCTCCAGCAACAACCACCGATCTCCCCAGACCACAAAGTGTAGTTCCAGTTATTTCCAATAACTTCGCTGACAAATCTCCAGATTCTCCCACTGATTCACCGAGTGTTTCGAGTGGAGTTTCTGACCTTTCGGGCAGTTCAACAGCTCCCACGCTTCCCCAATTCCCTATTGTCTCCAATGAAATTCCATCTCAAGTTCCCGCTACTTCAAGTGAAAGTTCAAACATTTCAGGCGGTTCGGCTGATGATCAAGTGCCACCTGAAAATAGTGTTCCCAAACCAGCGGATAAAATACCTCAACCATCAATTGATTCGCCACCAGTGCCAAGTGATTTCCCGGGTCTGTTGAACGATCTCGCCACTACCACGCCTTTCCACGTAGATCTGCCAACTGATTTTGAGAATGATAGTCCCGATAGCGCGAATCTCTTGCCATCATCATCGGAAACGAGTGTTCCCAAGCCAGCGACTACAACACCTGAACCAGCAATTGATTCACCACCGGTGCCAAGTAATTTCCCGGGTTTGTTGAACGATCTTGCCACTCCGGATGGCGTGGATAATCTCTTAGGCAATGCCCCAACCAAAGAACACACAACTTCAAGTCCCTCTGAAATTCCACCAATCGACAATGTTTCCAACTCCTTGGGTTCAGCAAGTGTTCCGAGTGTCGCCAACAATTTCGGTGATCTCTCAACGGACAGAGATTCGGCAAGTGTTACTCCCACTTCTGACCTTGACTTCCTTACACCCATAAACAATATCACGCATAATATCACATTTGACCCACCGGACAGTACTCAAGTATCAGTCGAAGCGACAACCACGGTGGAAACTCCTCGCGTGATAAGAGTGAGCACGCTAAAATGCAGAGACTATTCACAAAATTACACAGAAGACAGCAATAAAGCCACCACAAAGCCAGTCTCCGACATTGACACTGTTGACGGAGGTTTTTCCGTGCTCGGGGAATTTCCCCACACGGCATCAATTGCGGCCGACGATCCAGAAGACGAGAATGGACTGATCTTCTACTGTGGTGGTACTCTTATAAGTGAAAGGTATGTGTTGACTGCTGCACATTGCTTCGTGCGAGACAGTCCAACAACCGTTCGACTTGGCGGCTTGGATTTGGACACCGATCATGAGAAAAACAATATTGTGGATCTTGGCATAGAAAGTGTGTCCATTCATCCTAATTTCCGCGCCAAAGCAGTGTATGACGATCTCGCACTGATCAGGCTCAGTGATGATGTGATATTCAATGACATTATTCGACCGGCTTGCCTCAATGATCGCGAGAGTTCCAATGGTCCAGTATTGACGACGATTGGATGGGGAAATGCAGCGTATTCAGGAAGAACATCGAGAGTTCTACAGAAAGCGCGCGTCAAAACTGTCCCATTGGAGCAATGCTCAGTATTTTATCCATCAACACGAGGATTTACTGATAGCATAGTAAATACACAAATATGCGTAACCGCAAAATCAAGCGCAAGCGTAGCAAATCCTTGCATTAGTGATTCTGGTGAGAAACTCCAATGCAAACTACTGCAATAAATTTAGCTGACCGTGAATTTACATTTTTCAGGCGCAACACTTTCAACTGCCATGTGGGACGCAAACATCTCCGCCAATATATACCACGTTATTGGACTAATGTCCTATGGAAGGGGTTGCGAAAATACTGCCCCATACGTTTTCACTCGAGTCTACTCATATTTGGACTGGATCGAGAAGATTGTGTGGAATACGACGGACATTTCGCAGTTAAATAATAATTAAAAATATTGTGCTATAAGTAATATTAAGGAATATAGTCTGGCGAAGTCATGAGAGAATAAAACAAAGAATGGTCAGTTATTACCCATGCAAACGAGTTTGATGACTGGCAAAATTATTGAGAAGGTAGCATTTTGCTCTGGGCAAAGAAATCTTCATTCGATTCTCTTTAAAAGAACAGTTTGGAATAATTGAACGGTTTTTCGGCAGAACTGTAGTTCAAAGCAAGGTGAATTTTGGCGAAAACCCGATGTGATCATTTATATATATATATATATATCATCTGTGTATGCTTATGGTTATTCTAAAGAATTTTGAGTCAAATAAAACACACAGTTTGGTTAAACTTCCCTTTGTATCGTTTGATTGATGTGCGAATGTTTAATGAATATAATATGATTCTGTATAATACATGTGGCTTTCCTATTTCCATATCTCTTTGAGATATTTTACGCCTCCTGGCCTAGGTCTATAGTAAGTGATGGTGCGCGTGTATTCATATATATATTTCGTTCTTTGTCTGTAAGTTTACTTTGAATTGGTGATTGTGGGGTAATCTTCACGGCGCACTTCCGAGGTAGCCGCCTCAGAAAGTGGTTGCCAGTGATTGAGAGACAGTGCTGGAGACGGGACTTGACTCACAGCACGATGGCAGCTTGGGTCTGTCTAGTGATCGTGACTTGTTTTATCGGTATCGCTCAATCGCAATTCGATCCGGACGCGATCATCTTCCCTGACGATGACAATGAATTGGGCAGCAGCTGCATTCGTGACTCAGACGGCAAACTCGGAATTTGCTCCAAACTCCAGGATTGTCGCGGCATTCACAAATTCGGCATAGCAATATCAATTGATTTTTGCAATCGCAAAGATCAAACAGTGTGCTGTTCCCTGGAGCACCTCTACAATTCTGTCGACTCGAGATTCGGTGAGGAGGAGAACGAACACAAAGAGGATGATAAGATGAAAGATGACAAAGTGGAGAAAAAGGACAAGGATGATAAAGAAGATACTGAGGAAGAGAAATCAAGAGCTCGCGAAATTCACGCCACTCAGGCACTAATTGGAGAGCTTTTGGGTGACAAGCGGAGGATCAGGTGGAGATGTGGAGGATCATTGATTTCACCTCGACTCGTTCTCACCTCTGCTCACTGTATCTTCTCTGTTGACATTCCAACATACATTCGGATCACAACAAAAGACGTAGAGCGGCAGATAATTGAGCACACCGATGCGTCAATCGACAAAATATTCATCCACCCCGAATATCATCCGCTAAAGCTGTACTATGATATCGCCATTGTGCGTCTCAACAAGGCCATTCGGGGGTTCCAACCGGTCTCACTTCCAACCACAAACGACACTCTATTGCGAGACGATCTGCATGTGACAGGATGGCTAAATACTCCGAGAGATTCTGAGGAACACAAATTTGTCGATGACACCGTGAAACTTCTCCCGAGTGATAATTGTACATCTTTCTTCGACTTGGCAGAACTCGCTGATGGAATAGTTGATAATCAGTTTTGCGGTGTGATAGCAGACAATAGCTCACTAGTTCCTTGCTCCGGGGCTTTCCTCGGCCTCCTTGAGGCAGAATCTCATGTCGTCGTGGCCATTCCGTCATTTACAATCGGATGCAGCAATGATCGACCTTACGTTTTCACCAATATCGCCCACTTCATCCCATGGATCAAAGCATTGATTGATGATGACCTGTGAATTACTTTTTTTTTTAATCTATCTATATAATAAATTTTATAACCAGTGACTCATACTTTTGCGGGAACTCCTGCCATCATTGCGTGATGCTGTGAATAAAAATCCCGCGAATAAAAATTTCTCCATCGTGTTTAACATTCATTAGTCTGTGTGTGTGATGTCTCTATATGACAGGAATTTTCATTAGCACAGATAACAGAATGTTGGACTCGTGGGTATTTCTTAATTGTCCAGTCAGACAAGACAAATGCGCATTTATGTAAATACATGGGATTTTCTACAAAGCATTTTAAACTGGTTTGCGCGCGATCAGTCTCTGGCGAGGTATCGGCTTCTCTGGTGCACTGAGGGAAGTTCAGAAGCACTGCGGCTTTGCAAGTGTTCAGATCGCTCCTTAATAGACAGAGAGATAGAGAATGTTTCAGCGGTTGTTATTCCTCCTTCTGTGTCCCCTCACTTTCCAACAACAAGGTTATTTATTGTCTTAGTAACTTTCCACTGTGCTATTTTCCTACTTTCTCATAGCTCTACGTATATCGTGTCATTAATCATCTTCTTGGCGTTCCAGATAATATCTTCTTTCGCGATGAAGTCCAAGACATTGGAAGTCCCTGTAGAGCCCAATCGGGCCTCGGAACATGTGTCTTAAATCGCAATTGCCGTGATCCCTTCGGTGGATACTTCAGTACCAACAAGAAGTCCGCAATTTGCTTCTTCAAGGATCGCACAACTCCCATCGTGTGTTGTCCCAATAATCAAGTGGTGCAAGACGATGAACAGGGACTTCCATCGAGTACCTCTTGGGAAGACCTCTTCCCGCAAATTCCCAGCCTGAAGCCCACGAAAAGGCCTCCGTCCAGACCAGACAGAGTACCAGTAAGCATGCTTAACCCCAAGCCAATGTCCGATAAAGTTCCAAGACCACAAACCATGAGAATTTCTAATGCGCGAGTTCCAGCGCGACCGAGCTTTATTCCAGTCTCCAATATAAAACCATTCCCTCCAATCTCCCTACAGTCACCATCAAACAACCCATTTCCCGTAGTTTCGGAAGTTTCTGATGTTGTTCCTGCACCAGCGTCTTCGCAACAGTTGACGAGAATGAGTTCAATCAAGTGCCAGGAATACACTCATAATTACACTTCGGACAATTCTAGAACTCCTGAAGCATCTTTCTTCACTGCCGTCGTGGGAGGAATTCCTGCCTATGCCGGTGAATTTCCCCACATGGCAGCAATAGGAATGGAGGAAGGCAGTGCCATCAAATACTTCTGCGGAGGAAGTTTGATAAGTGACAGATATATCCTAACTGCTGCTCACTGTTTCACACGAAACCTGCCTAAGGAGATTTTATCCGTTCGCCTTGGTGAATTGGATCTCACCAAGGATGACGACGGTGCATCGCCACGTGATTACAAAGTTGAACAAGTGATAACTCACCCAGAGTACAAGGGATCTTCAGTCTACAACGATCTTACGTTGTTAAGATTAAGCGAAAAGGTGGAATTTAATCCCTTCATTCGACCAGCTTGCCTAGCTAAAGACCCAGGAAGTGCCGACGAGGGTGTCACGGCATACGGATGGGGTCACACTTCATTTGGCGGAGTGGAGTCACCTTTCCTCCAAAAGATCTCACTGTCTATTTACGAAACTTCTACGTGCGAGAAAACATATCTTCCCTCGCGAAGACTTGCAAAGGGACTGGACAGGACCCAAATTTGTGCCGGTGATCCTGCTGGATTCAGAGATACTTGCCAAGGAGATTCTGGTAAATATTTCCCATATATTGCTATAAATCAATATCATAATATCTCGCGGTATTCACAGGAGGACCGCTATCAACAATGGAGTATGTCGAAGACATCGATACCAACATGTTCCACATTCTCGGTATCACTTCCTTTGGACAAGGATGCGGAGGAGAAATTCCTGCTATATACACACGAGTGTTTTCCTATTTGGATTGGATTGAGGGGATCGTATGGAAATCTTAATTATGCTGAGAAAAAGAGACGATCTTCTATCCTGTCATCCAGTGATCATATGTTGATGAACCGAATGCAACTGATATTATTTATAAATATTGATTAATCCCATTAGATTGTAGCAATTTTAAGAGATAAAGGACTACTAATTGTAAAAATATATACCAGAAATTGATATTCAATATAATTACCTCATGAAATGCACCCAATGTTATTATTATGATGTAAATGCAAAGCTTTCCATTTGCATTCTTTACATGCGTACCTTCAGCATACCAGAAACACTTATCGGAAGCTTTCCAGACACATTTCCACTTATCACCTCTCTTTTTCATCTGGTTTCTGTACATTATGACTTTTAAATTACATGCTTTATATCATATCAAAAAACCACCAAATTTTATTAGCGTCCATATTATATAAAGTTTAACGATTCCTAGAATCATCACAACAGATCAATAGTTTAAAAACAAGATTGCCTACATATATGCTTGAGAAATAAATTATAAACGTGCTCGCATACACAGAGAAGTATTAGCAAATGATCGAGTCTTACTTTGTCGTCAGCTTAGTTGGAAATGATGTCTCACACAATCCTGATCATCTTACTGCAATTGGCGCTACTAACCGCAGAAGGTAATTATATTTTTTTTCCTATTCTATGATAATGAGAAAACTCATTGTTCTGTGTCCAATACTTTATTACAGATAAAATTATCTTTCGCGATGATTCACCCGACTTTGGCACTGCCTGTGAAACATCTCATGGCTCCGGTGTGTGCGCAAGGCTGCAGGATTGTCTCAATCCAATCAGAGCCATTATTGTCAATCAGAAGCCCTCGACATGCTTTTTCCACAAGCGCAACGTGCCCGTTTTTTGCTGCACTGGCGTAACGCGAAAATTACCAAATTTCAACAATCAATTTGAATACTCGTTCATTGACAATGTAAAAGCTAATCAATAAAAGATTTTATGCAAGATCAATGCGAATGCCATGTTGTGATTGTTATAGCGACAACTTTCTGCGCGCTAGTGTGAAACATCCAATTAAAATGCCATAAACTTTATACTGAAAAGATAAACGCGTCCCGCTCGAAAAGCACAACGCGTAGAAAAATGTATTTCAATACACTTTCCAGACACCGTGGCAAGCACCAATCAAGAAGTGAATGAAGAAAAGCTATTTACAGCTTTGGCATGCACATTATATACATGGAATGAAATGAGACCAATTTACGTCATAGCCAAAAGCGAAATCCAAAGAACTTGAAATTCAAAAGACCTTCTATTTGGCTGTTTTAACTTTTATTCTCGCTCTCGCACTTCATATCGAAGACCAAAAAGAAAAAAAAAATGCTGCAACAAGTCCACTAAAAGTCAAAAGCAAAAAATGTCGTCACGGTATTTTTTTGGAACGGAACAGCTTAACTAATAAAAAAAAAATAACCACTAAATTATCACGAGTAGAATGACTTAGGTTTCAGCGAATGTTCTTAGATGCCTACGGCCAATCGTCTTCAGGACTGAGCAATTGACTCTCACTGGACACGGTGTGCCAGGTAAGACCAGTGCCTTGAGGCCTGTGCGTGGATGGCAGGAGAACGTGTCGCCACCAAGATCTGCCACGCACGAGCCCCAGAAAGAGCCTCCAGTTCTTCTTCTTACCGAAATTATACGGATTTATGTACGTCTTGCCGAGAGCCGCGAGTCTCTTCGTCTCCGCTCTATTGATGTACGCCTCAATGCTCGTCTCACCACGACCGATGAGCTTTGAGTGCCAAATACTGAGTGATCCTAGTGCAAAGAAAGCCGCAACATTGATCATTGCCATGAAAATTATTGCCCGATGTTTGGCAGCATTGTTGGCCAACTCATGAGGAACAGGAAGATCGTGGTGCACTGGCATTACTCCGTCTTCGCCATACTCATTCATCTCCGTCTACCAAAGACACATACATATGACCGGGCATTAAGTGCCGAGCCTCTTTTTTTCCACAATATCAAGTAACTCAAAAAGTGGTACTCACAATTGGTAGAGCATGTCCGGAAATGTTAAAGCGAACTGGATGCCCTTCGAGCGGCTCCGTCTCCAGCCAGCCCTCACCGTCGCCCAGTATCAGCGAATTGTAGCCAATGCCCATGCCGAAGACGATTATGAAGAGTGATCCCACCGCCGTGAACACCATGTAGAGGAAGAAGTATCGATGATTGCCGAATCCCACACAATTGTTCAGCCACGCTGCAATTTGAGAGAAGGTGAGTGTCTTGTGAGATTTTTGAAAGTCATCAGCTGATGTTCAGCCACAAGCCACTGGAAACTGGTCAACACTTTATTCACCAAGGTGGTTTACAATTTACACGCCTAACATCCCGTCACCCTCTTTGTGGCGTGAACTAGAATCGCGTCACAAGAGCCGGGAAGATACTGTGTGTCCCCACCCAATTGCCCCAGAAAAAGTACACCGCCCGGGTGATATAAAAGACATGCTCAGCACGGTGAAAATTATCATTCCTCCGTTGCACTTCAGCTGAACACTCAGTACAACCCCAAACCAACCCTCCAACATGAAGGTCTTCGCTCTGATTGCTGCCCTCTTCGTGGCTACCGTGGCTGGATCTGGTCTCATCGAGAACAGGCTCATCCACAGTGAGAGATTCGGACACGCTCTCTTCAGGGAGGGTGGAGCTCTGGCCGCCCCCATCTACCGCAACGACGTAAGTTTCACCCAACATCCCTCTCTGGGATCGTTTCTCACAACTCTCCCTCTTTCCGCAGCTCATCCACCCCATCACCTACAACAACTACGACGGCATCTACCACCCATACGCCTACGATGGCACCTACCACCACGCCCCTCTGGACGCCTACAACTACCGCACCTACACGGGCCCCTATGACTTCCGCAGCGAGGCCATCACCGCCGATCTGCGCTACAACCTCCCATACGGATACGCCCGCCACTTCTAATTTATCGCATTCCGATCCATTTCCGTGCGCTGAGTGCCATTTTGGGTGAATAAATGTTGTAAATTAATAACTTAAAAAGCCTGTTTTTCAACATCCGCATTCAATTGGGCCGGTGGAATTGTACTCACGACAGTGGTGATCCATGGCGAGAATGCATCGATTGCAGACGGAACAGTGATGGGTTCTCGGTGGTTTTGGCGCTATGCACTTCTTGCAGATGCTCACCGCCTCCACAATCAGTTCACCCTCCGGCGGGTAGCCCGGAGGGGTGACCACAGCCATGTAGTAGTGAAAGACCACATTCAAGAGCAGCCAATTGCCGACAATCACCAGAATCACAGTCATCTCCTGGCTCTTGGCCCACCAGTAAGGCAGACCGATCCAGTAAGATATAAAGACTACGGCGGATGTTAGGCAAGCGACAGCAATAACAAAGAACTGCAAGGAAAAGAGAGGCTTCAGCTTAAGAGAGCAAATCAGCAAGAGAACAGGTGTCTTACCGGTCCGAGGAGATGAGTGAAATTGTCGACGAACCAGAAGATTGGCTCCATACACACATCGGACACATAACTCTGATTCAGGTGATGATTGTACATGAGCGACTTAATACACATAATCGTGTAGTCATATTTAAAACGAATATTTTCGCTGTAGTGAGAGAATAAGTGATGAAAAGATCAAATGTAAACAATAGGGGCCAATGGCCTCCGGATACTCACTACAGTCTTCCTGGAATTTCACGTAATCGCCACCTTATTCGTCCCATTTCTCACACTTTGGGGTTTATTTGTACCGTGGCATTGGTGGAGAGAAGAAATGAGTGAGGATTTATAGGAGAAAAGGTGATTTTTGGGGAAGAAATCCTCCCAAGAAAACACGACAAAAACGTGATAAATGGGGTTATGTTTACCACATTTCCCCTCCATGTCATTGGATTCGATGTTTTCCTTCCCCTCCAAATGAATCTCGCTTGCATGCCAGTCACGTCATGACGTGCGGTTTTACTGTTTTGGAAAGGTCGTGTCCAACCTCACATTTTTAGAGAAAGACCCTCACAAATTGAGTGAAAAATCCCCTAAAACAGTGATCTCCTTGAGTAATAGTTGTCTGTATCGTGAGTCAAGATGCCCGCGGAAAACTTGGAAGAGCAGGGATTGGAGAAGAATCCCAATTTGGAGCTGGCGCAGTTCAAGTTTCTGTTGAGCCTTCCGGAGCATCGGAGCGACAAGGAGCTGCAGGGGAAGCTGATGAGCGCCATCCGTACAGACAACATGGCCCCATTCTATGAGGAGGTGTGCAAGGATCTGAGCTGGCCCATCGATCAGGCCCTCCTGGCGAAGATGAAGGAGACGAATGAGAAAAAGCTGGAGGAGCTGAATGCAGTGATTGAGGACGCCGAGAAGAATCTGGGCGAGATGGAGGTGCGCGAGGCGAATCTGAAGAAGTCAGAGTTCCTCTGTCGCATCGGTGACAAAGAGGGTGCCGTGAGTGCCTTCAGGAAGACGTACGATAAGACCGTTTCTCTGGGGCATCGGCTGGACATTGTGTTCCATAACATCCGCCTGGGGCTCTTCTACTTGGATCACGATCTCATCACGCGCAACATTGAGAAGGCCAAGACATTGATTGAGGAGGGAGGCGATTGGGATCGTCGCAATCGCCTGAAGGTTTATCAGGGCGTCTATTGCATCGCCGTGAGGGACTTCAAATCCGCGGCCACGTTCTTCCTGGACACCGTGAGCACCTTCACATCGTACGAGCTGATGGACTATCCCACATTTGTCCGCTACACCGTCTACGTGGCGATGATCAGTCTCCCGCGCAACGAGCTGAGGGACAAGGTGGTGAAGGGATCTGAGATCCAGGAAGTCCTGCACTCGCTCTCCGACGTGAAAGCCTACCTCACGTCGCTCTACAACTGCCAGTACGCGGAGTTCTTCCTCAACCTGGCCAAAGTGGAGGCATTCCTCCGCAATGATTATCTCGTGAATCCTCACTATCGCTTCTACGTGCGCGAGATGAGGATCCTGGCGTACACGCAGCTCCTGGAGTCCTATCGCTCCCTCACGCTGCAGTACATGGCCCAGGCCTTCGGCGTCTCCATTGAGTACATCGACACCGAGCTGTCGCGCTTCATCGCGGCGGGGCGACTGCATTGCAAGGTGGATCGCGTGGGTGGCATTGTGGAGACCAATCGGCCGGACAGCAAGAACTGGCAGTATCAGGCCACGATCAAGCAGGGGGATCTCCTCCTGAACAGAGTGCAGAAGCTGAGCAGGGTCATCAATATTTAATTGCTTGTCTGTCGCTGAATATCTAATAAATTTTCTAATCTACGCAAGAGTTTTTATTTCAATACTTCAAGGACTTCATTTGTTTTCCAAAATCATTTACGAGTTAATCATGAGAATAGCAAAAACTACTGGATTTCATATCCAAGGAATTATACAAATTAATTGTCGCGAACTTCGAAAGACCTCAGGTCAAAGGAGAAGACGCGAGAGATGAGACAATCACCGGCATCTGGGCAAATTCCAATCAGGATGTCGGCGTGCGAATAGAATTCTTCCTTCAGCGAAATGACGATTGTCTGGAGATTCTGCGTTTTGTCACGAATATAAGACGCCACCTTGCTGATGTTGGTGTTGTCAAGCGCCGCGTCGATCTCGTCGAGCACGAAGAAGGGCGCCGGCTGGTAGCTGTGGATCGCGAAGAGGAGCGCCAGAGCGGCGACTGTCTTCTCACCACCACTCAAGTTCGCCATGGGCTGGAATCTCTTGCCCGGCGCCACGCAGTTGTAGTTAATGCCGCCCAGGAAGGGCTCCTCGGGATTGTCCGGACCCAAGTACGCCTGGGCAGCCTCATTGCGCGCCAGCGACTTGTAAATCCCATCAATGGCCTCGGAGATGTGATTGAAGCAGTTCGTGAATCTGTTGCAGCGCTCATTCTTCACCTTCTCAAAGTTCGTTTTGGCCTTCTTTGTCTTCTTCCTGGCATTCTCGAACTCCTCATTGGTCGACGCCACCTTCTCAGACACCAGATCCAGTTTCTGCATGGCCTTCAAGTTGGGCGTCTGGATGCTCTCTAGGATATCCTGCTTCGTCTGCAACTCCTTCAGCAACTCATCGTGCTTCTTCTTCACTCCGTCCGCATTTCTGGCATCCCTTAAATCTCGCCTCAGCTTCCCATAGTCAATCTGCAGGGCATTCTCACGAGCATAAATGGCTGTGGTGTTGGTCCCGGACGCCGACGCACTATCCCCATCCTGGCCCGGCTGCACGATGTCATTCATGTTCCCATTCAACATGGGAATGACAATATCATCCATCTTGCACTGAATCAGCGTGCTATGTCGCTCGTTCTTCTTCGTCTCAATCTTCGCCTCAATGCCACTCAACTGGGTGCCGAGAGTGTGCAACTCCTTGGCCAGTTGAGCTACATCACGACGCGCCTTGGCCGTCTCCGACTCCATCTGATCCACTTGGCTCTTCTTCGCCTGCTTCTCCTGCTTCAGCTGCTCAATGTGCTGCTTGTCTGTCTCAATCTCCGATCTGTACCGCAACTCCGCCTGCTGGAACGTCTCCAGTGCATCCTCCTCATCCTGTACCGTCCTCTCCCAGCGCTGCACATTCTTCTTCGTGTCCTTGCTGCGCTCAAAGTCCAGATGTGTCATTATCTTGTCGATTTGCTGCTCGAAATCCGCCATCTTCTTCGCCCTCTCCTGCTGCATCACCAGCTCGCGCTCCTCATACTGCCGGATATTGGCCACACCGATACGTCGGCAGAAGTTCGCGTACACCCTGTCCTCCACCGAGTTCATGTTCATCTTGATGTCCTGAATGCGCTCCTCACGAGTCTGCATCCGATGATCAATGGCCGCAATCTTGGGCCCAATCGCCGCCAATTCAGCCTCTAGACTCCCCAACTGTTTGTCATACTCCTCCATGGACTTGTTGCTGGCCTCAAGATCATTCTTGCTGTACTTCAGACGATTCTCCAAGCCCTTGATTTGACTCTCAACTGTCGTCAATTCGCCCTGTTTGCGAGACTTCTTCAGCAACTCCTTCATCTCTTCGTTCAGCTTCTCCTTCTGCGCTTTCAGCTGCGCCATGTGCTTGTCATCCCATCTCTTCGCCTTCCTCGCCAGATCGTGACTGCCACCGGAGATGATGCCACTCTTCTGATAGAACGTGCCATCGAGAGCAAGGGCGTCATAGCGACTCCTGTCCATCTCATACGCCACCTTCATGGCATCCTCCGGAGTTTCACACACCAAAGCATTGTTTGTGGCAAACAGAACGGCTCTTTCAATCTGTGGAGGCTCAAACTTCAGAACATCATACACTAACTTCACATTGCGTGGCTCAGCAATGTTCCTGAGACGCTCCTTCAGTGGCTTCGCCTGCAGATAATCCAGTGGCAGGAAGGTTTCCACCTCAAGCATCTGCTCCTTCAGAATCTGAATGCATCGTCGAGCCGTCTTCTCGGTGTCCACAATAATCGCCTCCATATACTTTCCCAGCACCTTTGTGATCGCCACATTGTAGCGCTTGTGGATCGGCTGACACATGTTGATCATGCGATCGTATACACCAGGGACTTCCTTCTTGAACAGCTCCACCACCTCCTCCTTCTTCCTTCGGCGCGCATCCTCGTGCTTATCCACCTTGGCATCGCCCAGTTGATCACGCACATCCTCCAACTCACGATGAAGCTCCGTGATGCGATCCTTGGACGAGCCAACATCCGACTTCAGCTCCTGCTTGATGCGATTCTGCTCCTGCAGAGCCATCTCGCTCGACTGTATGTGATCCAGCAGCTTCATCTTGCGCTTTATCACTTCCTCCTTCTCCAGTGTGAACTTGTTGATCTGCTCCTCTATGTTGCTCCTCTTGTTTATCTCGCTATCCTTCAAATCCTGATCCGACTTTTGCTCACGATTCACCGAATCCAGCTTGGACAGGAATTTTGCCGCTGTGGCGTCTGCTTCTTGCTTCAGCCTGTCATATTCCTGCACCTGATTTGACTCCAAGCTCGTGTTGATTCCTCGCCGACGAGATTCACCCGCCATCTCGTCCTCATAGTGGCCCTTCTTCTTCTCAATAGCCGCCAACTCAGATTCCAGCTTCTCAATGTCAGCCTGGTGAGCCTGATCGGCTTTGTTCGCCTGATCGAGTGTCTTCTTGGCGGAATCCAATTTGTTCTGCGTGTGCGCCACCTTTTCCTTCGCCTTGATGAACACGGGGTGCTTCTTGGACATATTCGTCTCCACATCTCGAATGTCCTGATCCAACTTGGCCAGCTCTCGACTAATCCTGCCAGCCTCCTTCTTCTTGTCCTTCAGTACATCGTCCGCCTGCTCCTTTCGCTGCTCCGCACCCTGAATCTCCTGTTGCTTCGCCTCCATCTCCACATTCAGCGAGTCAATGTCCTTCTCACAGTGATGCAACTTGAACAGATTGTACACCACCTGCAAGTCAGCGTATTCATCCTTGATCCTGGCATATCTGTCCGCTTCGAGCTTCTCCAGTTTCGCCTCCTTCCGCTCAGCCGCAATGCCCTTCTTCTTCTGGTACGTGTACTGCGTCTCCTCCTCGGCCATCTGCATCTCACGCTTCAAGCGATTGTAGTCCTCCTTCAGGGCGCCAGAAGAGCTGATCTCTTCGAACAACGTCGTTCGCTCTTTTGCATTCTTCATAGCAATGCTTTCCACGGCGCCCTGGAAGACTAGGAAGTTGCGCGCCTTCACATTTATCCCTAGTTTCTCCAGTTCATTGGTGTATTTTCCCGAATTAACGCTCTGAAATGCAAGAAACCCGTAAAAAATACTGACAATTCATCAAATAGACTTTCTTACCGTTCCATTGAGTTTGTACTCTGAAGATGAGCCCACCACAGATCTCTGGAAGTCGATTTTAGACCTGTCCGGAAGGATGAATTTCGCCGTCACTGAGCAAGTGTTCGCCACGGGCCTTCCAATGGCGGCGCCGTGAATCAAGTCGCTGAGACGCTTCACCCGGAGAACGCTGGTCTTCTCACCCATCACGAAACTGATGGCATCCATGAAGTTGGATTTGCCTGGGAGATCAAATATCACCGGTTAATCACAGCATTCCTGTATTCATGGGTGGAATTTTGCGCGGAAAACATACCCGAACCATTTGGACCGATGACAGCTGTGAATTCCTTCAGAGGCCCAATACACACGTTCCCCTTGTAGGACTTGAAATTGTCCATCTCAATGAACTCCAGGAACGCACTCATTTTGTCAATTTTCAATTTCCTCCCAGTTTAGATGAGTTTTGCGCGGTTTTTCACAAACTTTTCTTCAGACGCGTTTCCAAAACAGACGCCATCACGGATTTTTCGTTAATCTGTCGGCCAAGTCGATCAGTTTGACATTCTATGTTTTTTCCCCGCCAATTTTGACGTGCACTTTCACAACACAGGGTGGCTCATTTTAATGGTTGATGAGAAATAGGAATTCGGCTGATAAGAAGGATTCTGATAAGAGACCTATAAACTATTCTAATTACAGAATAGAAATAATACAAATATTTATAATCGTAAACGTCGTTAATAATACATCTACACTCAAAGAATGGTTGTTCTGTACTATTTTGCTAAAGTTGAACACTCCGAATCAGTTTGATAGAAGCACGCTTGATATTTGGTACAAGAGATAAGTCTATTGAGAGTTTCAATGACGTGCAGTATTTCCAGGAGTGCGTGACAAAATTCAAGACGATGAATGACGAAGATAAGAAACCTGTAAGTTGAATTCTAACATACAGGATTATCCGCTAAGCAAAAACTTCTTGCAGGATTTCACAGAGGTGAAAATTAAAGTTCCGTGGGGGCATGTTGCTGGAAAATGGTGGGGCCCATCTGATGTGCGCCCCATTCTTCTCATTCATGGATGGCTGGACAATGCTGGAACTTTTGACACTCTGATTCCGCTTCTGCCAAAGGATCACGTGAGCTACTTGGCGATTGATCTGCCCGGACATGGACTGTCTTCGCACATTCCGGAGGGAATGACGTACAGTCACTACGACTACGTTTGGCTCATTCATCGCATCCGGAAGATTTATGAATGGGACAAGATCTCCCTGATTGGCCATTCCCTTGGTGGTGTGGTTACCTTCTTATACACTGGAATATTTTCTAAATACGTTGACATGCTCATCACATTGGACGGCATGAAGCCTTACACTTCTGCGGAATTGATCACCAATGTGCTGAAAAATGGAATTGCCCGGAATACAACTGAGGTTATCAATCATCTCTCGCCAAAATCCCAGCCGGCGTACAGCAAACACGAGCTCACGGAGAGGATGCAGGCGAGCTCATATAATTCCCTGGAGCCCAAGGACTGCGAGTATTTGTTTATTCGCGGAATCAAGAAGAGTCCTGTTCATCCTGACAAATACTTCCTGAGGAGCGACGCTAGAGTCAAAGTAATCCACATGATATCGTTTTCTGAGGAAAATAGCCTTGATATTGCGCGGGAAGTTAGATGTCCTGTCTTGCGGATCACTGCAGATATCAAGAGGAAAAATTCACAGAGTTCAGCGGACGAATTGATAGAGGCACTGAAGAAGAACAACAAGCAAGTTGAACATTGCGTAGTTTCTGGAAAGCATCATGTTCATTTATCGCAACCAGACAAAATTTCAGGCATAATTACTGACTTTATCCTGAAATATCGCTCACCAAAGAGCAAAATTTAATTTTTCATCGGTTCTAGAGAATTTGGAAACAGTTCTCTTATTTTTAAAAGTTTTTGTTGTTGAATGTTTTTTTGGTGGCTGAAATTCTGGTGATGATGATAAAAGTATTCTTAGAAGATTGCAGAGTGCAAAAATGTTGTAGAAAAATTGTACAGTTTTTATAATAAAGAAAATGAACTTGTGTTTTGCTCATTATATTTCATTCTTGTTCTTCTACAAATGACATATTTTAGGAGACTATTTAATTTACGTTCGCGTAAAATGTTTTTCTGCATTTTATAGTGACGTAGAATGAGACTTGATATAAATTACGAGAAAGTTTGCCTCGCGACTCAGTCTCAACCAAGATTTCAAATCATTTCAATGGTGAATATTTCAATATGGTTTACAATTTTTTAGTTTACTGAAGTGTTTTTTGCTTACAGGACTTCACAGAAGTGAAAATCTCATTTCCTTGGGGACATGTTGCTGGAAAATGGTGGGGCCCAGCTGATGTGCGCCCCATTCTTCTCATTCACGGATGGCTGGACAATGCTGGAAGTTTTGACACGCTGATTCCACTCCTGCCAAAGGATCACGTGAGCTACTTGGCGATTGATCTGCCCGGACATGGATTGTCTTCACACATTCCGGAGGGAATGGTGTACAAGTGCATTGATTACGTGCAGTTAATCCATCGCATCCAGAAAATTTATGAATGGGACAAGGTCTCCCTTATTTGTCACTCTCTTGGTGGTGAAATCGGATTCTTGTATTCTGGAATTTTTCCCGATTGCGTGGATATGCTTGTGGCTTTTGATGTGCTTAAACCTATGACATCTCCGGATCTGATAAATTTCATGCTCGAAGCTAGCATTCAAAGACTCACATCTGAGACAACTCGTCATCTCTTCCCGGAGTCTCAGGCAACATACGAAAGAGAAGAAATTATTAAGAAAATGCAAGCTAGCACATTTGGTTCTCTGACACCTGATGATTGTGAGCATATTTTAGTTCGAGGAGTTCGGAGGAGTTCTGTCCATCCTGATCGATACTACTTTTTAGCCGATAACAGGCTCAAACTCTATCATCCGATATCATTTACAACGGAGAACGCTCACCAAGTTGCGAGACATATCAAGTCTCCTGTCTTGCTCATAGGTGTGGAACCGAAATCAGAAAAAATCTTCGCCAGCATGAGAGATGATGATAATGACGTGGAGATGATGATAAAGGAAAATCCGAAAATAGTGCTTAAAGTTGTGCCAGGAAAGCATCATGTTCACTTATCTCATCCTGAGAGGGTTTCTGAGATGGTTTCTGAATTCATAATGACACATCGTGCATCAAAATGTAAAATGTAGTGAAAATAAACTTCTCAAGGCGAATTTTCAAGTCTGCACTTAAGCAATTTAGACATTAATAAAACTGAAAGCGTTATTAGCAAAAACGTATTTTTATTTCTCCAATGTATCCGTTACATGATATTTCAAACGATTAATTTGACGAAGATTTCCGCGCCCAAATATCTTGACGATACATTGTCGATCAGTGTCGAAAACTTTCTCTTGTTTTGAGAATACTCCGGGTGCCACACGCACAAATTTTCACTGCCGCATTTTTCACTCAAATCAAGTGAAAACAGGAGTGATTTGTGAATTAGTACGTGCAAAATGTCTCTGAAATTGGTTTGCAACAAGAATAATCCGCCCATTGGTAAGGATGAGCTGTATTTTTGTCATTTTCTTCAGCCTCCATTTTGGGGGTTAGGAAATCGGCAAATCCTTCTATGGAATTTTGCGAAATTAAATGGAAAATTATGAAATTCAACAATTTCACAACTCCCCTGTACTTATTTCATCACCTTGCCAGGCGCCCTTGCTGCCGGAGAGTACGCGAAGAATGTGCAGAAGATCGAGGTGGAGTGGAAGTCGGACTCTCAGGATGGTGGAAATGCTGGAAAGAATGAGTTGCTGAGGAAAGTGGCTCGAAGCTCCCCAGCCGTGGGTCTCTATGATGAGAATGACCCGCTCACGGCAACCCAGATTGATCACTGGCTGTCCTTCAGCTTGACTTTTGGCATGAATCCATCCGTGAAGATGGATTATCTGAACAAATGCCTGGCTCCTCTCACGTACCTGGTCAGCAATCGCCTGACAATTGCAGATTTGGCGGTGTTCAACGCCATTTACGATCAGCAGGACAGAGTGAAGGCGACCGGCATGCCTCAGAACGTCCAGCGATGGTATGACTTGATACACTCTCAGGAGTGTGTTCAGTCTGTTGTGGCGACACTGCCCCAGAAGGAGAGCAGTACTGCTGTGAGTCAGGAGAAGTTTGGCGACCGCAAACAGGAGGGAAGGTTTGTTGAGCTGCCAGGAGCTGAGATGGGAAAGGTGGTAGTGCGATTCCCGCCGGAAGCTTCAGGATATCTGCACATTGGCCACGCCAAGGCGGCACTGCTCAATCAGTACTATCAGGAGGCGTTCCAGGGGAAGCTCATAATGCGATTTGATGACACGAATCCCGCCAAGGAGAACGTTCACTTCGAGCAGGTCATCTTGGAAGATCTGAAGATGCTGCAAATCAAGCCCGACATGTTCACTCACACCTCGCAATACTTTGATCTGATGCTGGAATACTGTGAGAAACTGCTGAAGGATGAGAAAGCTTATGTGGATGACACTGATCCTGAACAGATGAAGAAGGAGCGCGAGCAGAGGACAAAGTCGGCGAACTGGAGCAATTCAGTGGAGAAGAACTTGTCGCTGTGGCAAGAGATGATCAATGGAAGTGCTCTTGGGCAGAAGTGTTGCGTTCGGGCGAAGATTGACATGAACTCTCCGAATGGGTGCTTGCGAGATCCCACAATATACCGCTGCAAGAATGAACCACATCCTCGAACAGGGACTCAATACAAAGTCTACCCGACGTATGACTTTGCCTGCCCAATCGTCGATGCCATCGAAGGTGTTACTCACACACTCAGGTAAATATGATAATTAGAATGGAGCGAATAGAAGCTAATCATCCTTTTCTGCAGGACAACGGAGTATCATGACCGTGACGATCAGTTCTACTGGTTTATTGAGGCTCTTGGGCTGCGCCGGCCGGTCATCTGGGAGTATAGTAGGCTAAACATGACCAGCACAGTGCTGTCTAAGCGCAAATTGACGTGGTTCGTGGACGAGGGAATCGTAGATGGATGGGATGATCCTCGATTCCCAACTGTGAGAGGCATTCTTCGCCGAGGAATGACCGTTGAGGGTCTCAAGCAATTCATCATCGCCCAGGGTTCGAGTAAATCCGTTGTGTTCATGGAGTGGGACAAGATCTGGGCGTTCAACAAGAAGGTCATCGAGCCCATTGCTCCGCGGTACACAGCTCTGGAGAAGGGCAAATCCGTGGTGGTGAATGTTGAGGGTGCTAAGAAGGATGTAGTGGAAGTGCCAGCACATCCCAAGAATGAAAGTGTGGGAATGAAGAAGGTGGACTTGGGTCCAAAGATTCTCATTGACTATGACGATGCTGAGACCCTGAAAGAGGGTGAAAATGCCACGTTCATCAACTGGGGAAATCTCCTCATCAACAAGATCAACAGGACAAATGGGAAGGTGACATCAATCGATGCGACTCTCAATTTGGACAATAAGGACTATAAGAAGACCATCAAGTTGACGTGGTTGGCGCAACTCCCAGACTCTGACTATCCGCCAACGTTTTGTGTCTTCTTTGAGCATATCATCAGCAAGCCGAATCTGGGCAAAGATGAGGACTTCAAGACGTACGTGAATAGAAAGACACGAACGGAGATGGAGATGCTTGGCGATCCGGAGCTGAAGAAGCTGAAGAAGGGTGATATTATACAGCTGCAGAGGAGAGGATTCTTCCGTGTCGACGTGGCGTATCAGCCCAAGAGTGAGTACACGAATGTGGAGACGCCGGTGATTCTCTTTGCCATTCCCGATGGTCACACGAAGGAGATGCCAACAAGTGGTGTGTCCAAGAAGCCAGAAGAGTCATCGAAGAAGCAGACTGCGAGCGTCGACAATGTAAGTGTGATGATCAATCTCTGTCAATGAATGTGGTGAAAGTGAATTGTTCGCGAACTACAAATGCCACATGTTCAGTTTCACGTCAGTTCAGATCATGTGTACTTTTATTGAGAGTGTTATTTGCTTTATAGGTCAAAGTGGATGCTTCTGAGCTCAATGGTAAGATCACTGAGCAGGGCAACAAAGTGCGCGAACTGAAGGCGTCGAAGGCACCAAAAGCGGACATCGATGCGGCAGTGACACTCTTACTGGATCTCAAGAAACAGTACAAGAGTGCAACTGGACAGGAGTGGAAGCCTGGTAGTGCTCCTGTGGCTCCTCAGCAATCTTCAGGCGGTGCTTCAGGAGCTGAGTTGAATGAGAAGATTATCCAGCAAGGCGACAGTGTGAGAAATCTGAAAGCCAATAAGGCTAGTAAGGCAGATGTTGAGGCTGCAGTGAAGATTCTGCTGGATCTCAAGACACAATACAAGAGTGCGACTGGTCAGGAGTGGAAACCGGGTTGTGTGCCACCAGCAACAACATCCAGTGCTACTCCATCGGGAAGTGATCTCAATGAGAAGATTGTCTCGCAGGGAAATATTGTGAGGAATCTGAAAAGTCAGAAGGCTCCGAAGGCCGAAGTGGAAGAAGCTGTTAAGCTTTTGCTGAGTCTGAAAGCTGATTACAAGACAGCAACTGGAAGTGAGTGGAAGCCTCAGACAACTCAAACGGCGGAGAAAGTTGTGACGGAGGCTCCAAAGAGTGAGAAGAAGATGTTGAATCCCAGTGAGATTAACCAGGAGATCGTTAAGCAGGGTGATCTGGTGAGGAAGCTGAAGGGTGACAAAGCCAGCAAGGCTCAGATTGAGGCTGAAGTGAAGACTCTATTGTCACTGAAGGCGGATTACAAGAGTGCCACGGGTCAGGAGTGGAAGCCAGGCTGTGTGGCTCCTGAGACACCTGCGCAGGAGAAGAGCGACTCAGGAGACAGCGCCAAGGATGAATTGACTGCCAAAATAACTGCTCAAGGAGATGTTGTGAGGAATCTTAAGTCTTCAAAGGCAGCGAAAAATGAGATTGACGATGCCGTGAAGACTCTTCTTGACCTCAAAGCGGAGTACAAGAAAGTCACTGGGACGGACTTTCCAACAGCACAGCGCGGTGGAGCAGGAGGAGGAGGAGGTGGAGGAAGAGCTGGTACTCCGGACAAGAAAAAGCCTCAGGAGAAGCCTCAAGAGAAGCCTAAGAAGCAGTCAAAGGAGTCAACTCCTACGCCTGAAGACTCATCGTCGGGCATGAAGAAAGTCACTCGTTTGGGTCTGGAGGCGAAGAAGGAGGAAAATCTAGCAGATTGGTATTCTCAGGTGATCACGAAGGGTGAATTGATTGAGTACTATGATGTGTCTGGATGCTACATCCTCAGGCACTGGTCATTTGCCGTGTGGAAGGTCATAAAGACGTGGTTTGACGCGGAAATCACGAAAATGGGAGTGAAGGAGTGCTACTTTCCCATCTTCGTGTCACGCTCTGTGTTGGAGAAGGAGAAGACACACATTGCGGACTTTGCCCCCGAGGTGGCTTGGGTCACGAAGTCAGGAGACTCGGATTTGGCAGAGCCCATTGCCGTTCGTCCCACATCGGAGACGGTGATGTATCCGGCGTACGCCAAGTGGATTCAATCTCATCGGGATTTGCCGTTGCGACTCAATCAGTGGAATAATGTGGTGAGATGGGAGTTTAAGCATCCGCAGCCCTTCCTGCGCACCCGTGAATTCCTGTGGCAAGAGGGACACACGGCATTTATGCTGGCCGAGGAGGCGCACGCTGAAGTTTACCAGATTCTCGATTTGTACGCTCAAGTGTACACAGATTTGCTGGCAATCCCTGTGGTGAAGGGCAGGAAGACGGAGAAGGAAAAGTTTGCCGGTGGAGACTTCACGACCACCGTTGAGGCTTTCATCTCGGCCAGTGGCAGAGCCATTCAGGGCGCCACGAGTCATCATCTGGGTCAGAACTTCTCCAAGATGTTTGACATTGTCTATGAGGATCCTGAGACGAAGGAGAAGCGATTTGTCTACCAGAACTCATGGGGAATCACCACGAGGACGATTGGAGTGATGATTATGGTGCACGCGGACAACCAGGGATTGGTTCTTCCTCCTCGAGTTGCCTGCATTCAGGTCATTATCGTGCCGTGCGGCGTGACGGCCAGCATGAAGGAGCAGGAGAGGAATCAACTGCTAGACAGCTGTAAAGTCATGGAGGAGGAGCTGAAGAATGCCGGCGTGAGAGTTGAGGGTGACTACCGTGACAACTACTCGCCAGGATGGAAGTTCAACCACTGGGAGTTGAAGGGAGTGCCGATAAGGCTTGAGTTGGGTCCCAAGGATTTCAAGATGAAACAAGTGGTGTTCGTGCGCCGAGACACTGGCCAGAAGATCCAAGCGAACAGAGCCAATCTGGTCAACAATGTCAAGACATTACTAGAGACGATTCACGAGTCGATGCTTGCCAAGGCGACTAAGGATCTCAATGATCACAAGAAGCTGACGAGAGATTGGGCGGAGTTTGTCAAGCTGCTGGACGCCAAGAACATCATCCTCTCACCGTTCTGTGGCATTACTGAGTGCGAGGATAAAATCAAGGCGGACAGTCAGAGGTGAGTGTGTGTGTGTGTGTATATTTCAAGGATAAAATTAGCACTTTGTTAATTAATCTATTTTGTCTGGTTTATAGGGAGAACGCTGAATTTGTTGAACCCGGTGCCCCGTCCATGGGTGCCAAGACGCTTTGCATCCCATTTGAGCAGCCCGAGAAGCTGAATGACTCGGACAAGTGCATTCATCCCGAGTGCACAAGAAAGCCAGTGGCTTTCACGCTCTTCGGCAGAAGCTACTAAATTCTGATTTCTCGATGTCACTAGACTCTGAGGCTACGAAATAAAGCCGAGTGAATTAAATCTTGCTCTTCTCAACTTCTCCGTCAATCCGTTCGTGCTCCTTCTTCACCAGGGCGCGCAATTCATCGCCGAAGCCCAGCTTGTCGGCGATCAGCTGCACTCCCTCATCACAGTCACCCAGCCAGGCCACGTCCCGACGACTCTCCGGCATGCCGAACTCCATTCGACCGGCGCCACGCGAAAACAGACTCCAGATGGAGTCTTTATTCCCCACGAGCTCCCGATTGACCAGCAAGCGGACGCAGCTGTCGCTGGCGCGGTCTGGAAGAGAGGCGAAGGGCTGCACTTCCAGCGATGTTCCCATGATTATAAGAAGATCGCAGTCCTTGAAGTCTTTAGCGGGAAGCTGGTGGAAAGACTCTGGGAGGTTCTCGCCAAAGAACACAATGTCTGGCTTCACCACACCATTGCACTCCGTGCAGGTGGGAACTCTATCGGCGAAGATCTCCTCCTTCATCCACTCCATCGAGAAGGCCTTGTGGCAGCCCAGACAGTGGTTCGTGTAGAACGTCCCGTGAGCTTCCACCATCTTCTCGCCGGGAACGCCAGCAATCCTCTCCAGGGTGTCAATGTTCTGCGTGTAGTGTCGCTTGAGCCAGCCCTTGTCGTGCAGCAGCTTCACGAAGTAGTGACAGGGAGTGGGCTTGAAGGTGCCCGGATAGAGCTCCTTGGCGAGCGTGAAGAAGGGCTGCGGATTGTCAATGAAGTAGTCCAGTTCGAAAATTGCCGTGGGATACGGCAAATTGTACTTCTGGAGGTTGCTATAGAGTCCAGTGTCTGGGGATCGGAAGTCGGGTATTCCTGCAGAGGTGGAAATTCCAGCTCCCACCATTGTTACGATGTTCTTGAAGCCCTTCTCCTTCCAATGGTCCATGAGTCCGTCGAAATCCACCTTGTCCAGCACCTTTGGCGGCCTCCTGGCATCTGTATCGTCATCATCCTTCAGATTTCCAGAGAAGAGATTCAACTTCTCTGCCAAGTAGTTCCGGATAGCCTCCACATCGTTCATCAGCTCTGATGATCTGGAAGTTGATGGTTTTTCTTCTGCTTTCTCTTCCTTCGAGACTTTTTCATTATCGGGGTTTTCTGATAAAGGGATTACATTTTGAAGTGTTACAGATGTGAAAAATACTCCGCAAACTCACCTTTTCGCTCAGACATGGCTGAATATGTAAATATATTCACAAATTGACGACTTTTAAGTGCATTTAGAATGCTTTCTGAATGCAATCGATTCACTCTGCAAAACAACACTGACATTTGCGTTCACGGGACAATTCGACTGAGATGTCTAACTGTCCGCAGACAAGTCTGATGAGAATAAATAATTTTCATTTACAAACTCTTTTTACTCCTTTATTTCAAGTCAACTGGGAGCAGCAATATAATTAAAATTAAGAAAAAAAAATGTTGAATAGGAATTTCACTCTTTTGGATCGCCAATTCCATCCGGATTAATGGCAAACACCGCCTCAGATTCCGGCAAATTGGGCGAATCGTAAATCTTGCAAATTCTTGTCTCGCCACGACCCTTGCGAAGGTACAGACGAGTCGTCGAGGCATGGGCAATGATGTTCCCACCGACGGGCTTCTTGGGATCGGGATTGAACATCTGGGCGCCATCCACAGTCGCCACCACTTGATTTGTGATCACAATGGCCACACCGAATTCGGCGGCAATCCTGAACAAAGTCCTCATGAACTGAGCCAGGTGGGTTTGGCGATTGCAGAGTTCTCCGCGTCCCTGGTAATCCGTACGGTAGAGCGCAGTGGCGCTGTCCACAATCAGCAAGGCGTATCTGTGAATTAATAGGAGGGAAATTAAATAAAATCACGCTTTTTCAGCAATCAAAGTAATGCTACCTAGATTCTATCATCATAGCAGCTGCCTGGGTTAGCAGACTCATCTGGTGATCTGAGTTGTATGCTCTCGCAAAGGCCACATTATCCAGCACTTCATTCCCGTTCAGCTTGTAGCGTTCAGCCACGGAGAGAAGCCGATCCGGCCGGAAAGTGCCTTCTGTGTCAATATAGAGGCACTTGCCCTCTCCTCCGCCCTGGCTCACTGGCAGCTGGCAAGTCACGGCCAGGGTGTGGCAGATCTGAGATTTACCCGTTCTAAATTCCCCGAAGATCTCCGTTATGGAGCCAGTCTCAACACCGCCGCCCAGGAGTTTATCCAACTCCCGCGATCCCGTGCACAGCTGAATGATGTCAGCACGCTTCTGATGATACTCTGTGGCCGTAGTGAAGCCCATGGGCACAAGCTTAGCGGCTTCCGTTAGGATTTTTTCTGCTTTCGCCTCTGAGATTCCCTTGACAGCCAGTAAATTCTTCTTCAGAGCAAAGGCCACAGCTTCAACAGTGTAATATCCAGCTTCCTGCAACTTCTTGATGTCCCCAGATGAAATGCCCGTGGAATTGTTCTGAGAAATAAGCAAATATTGTGATTTTTCACCGTGAAGAGTCGGAAAAACAAAAGGAAAGGAGGTTAGAATGGGGCACTTACAATCAGCTTAGATATCATCTGTGGCCCATTGAGCTCGCAATCTTCCTCCTCCACAGTCTCCGCGGGCTTCTCCACCGGTTTCTCAACCACCTTCTGCTTTTTGTGCACTTGCTGTGCCATTTTCAACTATTTATCAGGCTACAGTACCGTGAAAACGCCTGTTTTCCACAAGAAATTTCCCTCCCGTTTTCACACCGTGACAGCTGATCGAATTTTCGAAAAGTGTGTGACGTCACTTTCGAACTTGTCCAAAACTTGTCCCATAACCTCAAAGTTTGTGTGCTTTGCGTGTGTTTAGCTTGTGAAACTCCTGCAAAAATGCCCATTTTTCACGATTTCCAAGCATGAGCGCCTTCGTCTACTTAGACGTATCGCTGTAAGTACGTTCTCTGGTGGTTGGCTGGTGTGTAAAAAGATTCCAGCAATGGTATTTTCCAGGCATTTGAAGACAATTCCAAGAGAGCCAATTCTTCCGGTGTTTCTCAAGGGAGGCATTATCACATCGTTGGAGGAGGTTTTCGGTGAAATTGGAGGCTGTACGACTGTGGACGTGCTGAAATTCAATCCAGAAACGCTGAAAGTTATTCTGCGTGTGCCAAAAGAGGACTACGTGAAGGTCCGGACAGCACTGACTCTGATAGCAACGTTCCAGGGCATTCCTTGTCGCTTTCACGTGAATTGTGCCTCACCACTTCTGCTCTCTTTGGTGCGCTGTGAGGACTTTTAGCGTGCACGATGTCTTACTGTAAGCAGTTCAACGGGGGCAAGGATAAGGTGATCTTCGCGTCGAAGGAAGACCTCGCGGGACCTAGCAAAATCACACTTCCCGAGTCGGATCCGGCGCCTGGACTAATTCTTCCCAACGGTGACATCAATTGGAACTGTCCTTGTCTAGGAGGCATGGCCACAGGACCCTGTGGAGTAGAGTTCAGAGAGGCATTCACTTGCTTCCACTACAGGTAATTTTTAAACGTTTAAATTGCCTTGTCACGGTGATATCTCAAAGTGTGCTTTCTTCTCACCAGCGAAGTGGAACCCAAGGGGTCTGATTGCTACGAAGTCTTCTCCCAGATGCAGTCCTGCTTCTCCAAGTATCCCACAGTGTACAACAAGAGTGGCGATATGGATGATGATGATGATGGAGACGTTGAACGAGAGGCTCAAATGAAGGTGGGCGAGTTACTTGACGGCGCCAAGGAGGAGAGAGAATCCGCGGGAGACTCTCCGGACGGCGCAGCCTCCCAGGTGGAGCGGAAAAAGTGATTTTGTGCAAAAGACTCCGACTTAGTTTGATTGGGCATCCCAAATTCTCTTCTGTCGGGATATCCACATAAGAATTCGTGTCAGATTTCTTAATAAAATATAGTAGAGATAACATGAAGAAAATGGGCGGAAAATTGAGAAATTCAGTGTCGGCATGGCAGATTTGGTCCGTTTTGTCAATTTGAATTGTCGAAGTTGGGGAAAAAATCACGATTTCGATGATAGAAAATGTGAAGAAGAAGAAGAAATGTCACGTTTTTTTGGTGTTGATCAGAAATTTTATGTGAAGGAGAGGAAAGTGGAAGAAAAGTGCAGAGAATCGCGGTGAAAAGCGATTGAAAAGTGTGAAAAATATACAATTGGGGTGCGTGTGTGTGTAATTGAGTTGATAGAGTTCACATTTCCTTGGCAGTGTTCTGAGAAGTGTGAATATTTGGGGGTGAGTGTGGAACATCGTCTAGTGAGAATTCATTGCATTGATTGTGGCTGAAAGGAGGTCAGAAGATGTTGACTCAGCAAGGAAGCGGTGCTAAGCCAGTCAAGGAGAAGCGCAGGTATGCCCAATGAATGGAATGCACGCCATGAGGGGTGGAAAAATGCAATTGGAAAGTTGTGAGCGAGTCTGTCGATAAATGGCGTCTCCGGACGGCGAATGGTCCGATGGCCCGAACTCGGTGAAACTCAATGACGCAGAGGTTATCTCAAATATTCAATTTAACATTGAATTCGTGGGGTATTTGGGACAGGGCTCTTGTGCCAGTGCCCCCAGGAATTTCCACTGGGCTCGCGGCCGCCGATCGGGGCGCAACAGGGCGCCCATGTTCTCTGGATTGGAAGGGTCCAAAGTCCACGTCTTGGCTGTTTTCTCTGCACTTTTTCTCTCCACTCCATCTCTGGTGGCAATTTAGACGGGCATCACGAGACCTTTGCCACCATCTCGAGTGGCCCCATTCGCACTGGCGCTTCCCAATCCATGTCTGTGGCTCGTGGCATTGATATGATGTCTTTCCCGTGCATTTTTGAGTGTTTGGCTGAGGATAAAGACAAACTGGCTGGCCGAGCTGGCGCACCAAACAGGTTCTCACATTCCCATCCAAAACACTTGCACAATCTTTTGCATGGAATAATAATATTTTGTACAGATTTTGGGGCGAGAAGAGACGATTGTTGATAAGTGTTATCTGACTAGTGGCATTTCCAGAAAGTATCTTCGATTGCAGTTACAGTGAGGGAATGGGGAAGTCTTCCTCTTTTCTATTGTACTTGCTTTCTTGGAAGTTACATTTGTTGAACAACTTTTCGAGAAATTTGGCGATAAAGAGCGAAAGACCTGCAAAGAAATTCCAAGTACTAGATTTTCTACAAGGAGTGCTGAGGGATGAGGTCAACAATCTCTAATCTCATGTCATTAAAGGAAAACACTTGAAATTCCTCGAAACAAGTTTCCTGAAGAAGCGATCTTACATATCTCTGACCTACACAATAATTTTTTTGGATCATACGAAGGGATCAGACAAAGAACAATTGTCTTTTTTTTAATATTTTCATTCGTCAGGCTTTAGAAAAACGCAAATACAAGAATTGTAGAATAATTTCTGATTATTTGACACAAATCAGCTGATCTCAAGTCATATCAGCTGATTCTGTTTTCTTTTGGGACATTTCAATTTGTTTTGTTGAATTACATATTCCTTTGTATGATTCGAGCTTATTTAATAACTTTCTCAACTTTCTGAATTGCATAACTTTATGAACTCATAAACTTTGTCATGATTTTTGACATATCTCTGCATTCATTGAAATTTTCCGAGTCTTTCAGCTCAAGTATTCACTTTTTCGGAATCTTCACTCATATTTAGATTTCATTTTGTAAAATTGAAATCACAAAGCTTTGCAATTTTTAGCCGTTTTTAGCATTTAAAATTTTGAGTGAAATTCACTTCAAAATTTTCAATCGATTCTGAGATAATTTAGCGTTCGGAATTTGTTTTCATGGTTGACAATGACCTTACGTAAATAGAAGAATCATCTGACGTTGATATTTTTTTCCTGATAAGCCCCAAAGCTTTCTTCGTATATTTTCAACATTGATGGTGTTTTGTGTTTGATAAGGAGTTAAGGTTATTTTGGTATATCGTTAGACTCAAATGTGTTTTGTAAATTGCAGTTCCGATTGGTTGTTTGATATTGTATGCCTTTTTTTGCAAATCTGCATTTTTCCCAAGGCAATGTTGCAGTCATGGTCGGACGGAAGACAGAAGTCCTTCAATTCGTCTCTAAAATCGAGATACTTCCATTCAAATTCTCTCTAGCATTTTGTCGAATTGAAAAGCGTTGTCAAGTGGCAGAGCAATTTAATTTATAAACTCTAAAGCACTGTATTTGGAATAAATATTGAAAAATATCATGTCGCTTTGACCTTAAGGTGGATCATCAGAATATTTTTGTCAGCAAACTGAGATATTTTTCATAGGCTTCGTAATAGCGAAAAACATTACATTTTGAATGACATTAAATGTGTATTGCAATGTGTTTTGAGCGTTTTTACTTTACACCAAAATACGACAAATCAATGGTTTAGAAGGATTTTCTTTTCATTGAATTTTTTGTAAATTTTTTCATGTTTATCCAAGTGTTTGTCACAGCATGAAGCGTTAAAATTTCAGTAAGAGAGAGAGAGAAATGCGAAAGCGTTGATGAGATCGTGGGAGAGATTGAGGATAGAGGTCATGCAATGCATCGCATAAAATTGCGTTTAAATATCAAGGGAATGTGTGTAATATGGTAATTAGCGAGGCGAAATATTCATACACATACATGCACTATTTACAGTGATGTTTTGCTCTAATCATTCATGGTGTGCGCGTGGAAAAATAAAACCAGTTTCATCAAGAGTTGCTTGTTTCTCCATGAATTCACCATATCTCAGCTGTTGGTTAATTTGACGATTTTTTCCAATGCGAATTTCTGATGATTCCTCAGTTTATTGTATTTGATACACGTGCTAAAATATGACGCAGTGGTTTTTTTTAATTAACCGCGTGCGATCAAATTTCTCATAAATATTTTTTATTCTTTCTGTCATTTTCCTAGAACCACCAACGCACGTTATTTCTTTGATCACCAATGTGAAGAAGTGCGTAGTTGATTGATTTATCCAATGGTCAATTAGTGACGCCTAATGGTCACTACAGAGATGCTCATGAGAATGGTTTACAAGCTATAAAGAATCATTTCTTCATTTGCAATATAAAAAGGCGACTTGAGAATTCAATGGGCAGAATGGAGAAGTGATATGGGAACAAAATTTGCTGAAACTTTCTGTGTGTCGCGCTTACAAATTGCTATTAAATTGCTGTCTGGCGTTTAGGGCATGAGAAGAAGTGTAGAGACAAAGATTGTTTCCTCAATAGCTAATAATTAATTAAATATACATTGAAATATGAGATTAATGGATGGTTTTTAGGAAAAGGTAGTTGTGTTCCAAACTTGATATTCTTTGAAGGTATTTTTGCTATTCCTCACTTGATTATGAATTCAGTAGATAAATTTCCTCATTTGATACGCTTTATTTATATTACTTTTCCAAGAAATATCAGAATTTATTTGTGAAATAAGCTTGAGAATAAAATGTCAACAATACAATTAATCTTAACGATTTTGGTTAACTGTGACATTTGGCTTATTCCGGCTGGTAAGCAGACATGCTTTATGTTCTAACTGAAATTATCTTTGAGTATCACAAAGTCGTTTTTTGGCAGATTTGTTTATTTCATTAGCAGACTCTCTTCAAATACACACAAGTTCATTTTGCAGTATGTCATATTTCATAGTAGAGCTTTAAAGATAAATGCATAAAAGTGGATTAAAAAGCACCAGAAAGATTTTTCTACGGTAGGATCGGAAAAATAATGTGAAAACTGATCTGAAACAATACTTGAAAGTATATTCTTTCTTTCGTGACTCTGTGTAGATGGAGTTGAGTAAATATTCAATAGCAAATATTTATGCTTCTTATCTGTATAGGCAGTGGAATATAGTTAAAATAATACATAAGTACGACACACCGCCGCCACTGGAGTCCGAAATTTACAATCACAGATAATCCATCGGTGGTAAGCAGCGAAAGAGGCCTTAGAAGGTGTGATCAGGAGTTTTAGGGTGGGAGCTCCAAATGAATTATGTACTTCCAATGTGCGATTGATTTGGCCAATTTCCCCTTTGATCGTTATGTGAAATACTGTTAGTGGCCTGCGATTGGCCAGTGATTGGAAACGCGGTGACGATCCTTATCAGATAGGGACTTTTTTCTGCGCCTTGCAAGATATTGGGTGGATTTTTCTTGGTGGCAATATTGAATTTGCAGACAATTTCTCGATTTAGTTTGAAACGTGCGGTCGTTCGGTTCTTTCACGGCTTCTTCGCCTGCGGGAGGAAAATGAATTCCAGTCAAAGTGCGTGGTTTAATCCCATGCATACAGAGTACAATTCGTATGACTTCAATTCGTCTGAATTGGAGTCTAATTGCTACTACGGTGACAAAGGGAGTCTGCAGGCTGTGCAAAATGTTCCTGGTTATGAAATTGATGGATTCGGAGTGCCGCGATATGTGAGTGTTGAGCAGCAGCGTGATTACTTTCCGGGGAATGTCTATCAAGATGATTCTGTTGCCTCTTATGCACCCTGCCAAGGACCAAGGCCATGGAATTTTGCATACTGTTACGGATTCTATGGCGACGCACCATGTCCGTTTGCCAATGTGATCGATATGGAAGATTTTATGTGAGTAAAATAACTAATTAGTCCATTTACGTGGATGGACACGGTCGATGAATACAAATTGTGTCTGCTTTGCGGAAATATGGAGAGATGACATGCACAAAGTAACTTGGCATGTGTCTCGTGTAGGACAATTTTTTGTGCTGTACTTTTAGTCTACTTATGAATATTCGTTCTGGTGTCATAAATTATGTTGAGAGTAAATTGACCAACATTTCCAATACATGGTATCATATCTCTACGTGCTGCGCCAATTCTGATAAGCTCTAGTTTGCCACCCAGCGTGAGAGTCTTTCCGATGACAATGAACTTTCACAGAGTGATCGCCAGACAACTTGGTCATGATGGTAGATTTCTTTTGTCAATTTATCAGTATTTCGCCAATAATTTTATCTGGGATGTGAAGAGAGAAAGTATAGGATTGTCACGAGTGAAAGGTGGCTTATGGAGAAATTACAAATTCCCCCTTATCTCGCCTGAAGTCACAACATTCAATGCCATTATCACAAGACGAAGTGTTTATGTAACTCACGCTGATAACCATTACGTGTTGTGCATTAGATGCAGTTGTCCTGCATGAGTTTGAGTGTGATATCTCAGGCGGGATCAATTAATTTGATTGTCACCAAATATACACACTTGAAAAAGTGGTAGGGAATTTCTGGGTGTCTGGATAGATTTGGTTGCCGATTGCAAAATTGTTGCAAAGACGATTTTTTTTGTCCGCCTGTGACTGATAGCAGAAAAATATTCTACCACAAATGATATATGAATGTATCATACTTGTAAATCCATAATGACACACATTTGACGTGCTTCTACTGCGGCTTGGGAATATGAATTGACTTTTCTGATAAGTTAATGTTACTCATTTCTCCTGACGACATTACTTTTCAGTATCAACATGGATAATCCTTCAATTAAAAAGCAATACATAACTTTCAGTGACAGTAATCGATTGAAAATTGACATGCTGAAATATAGAATACAAGAGTTTGTGGTTCAAGTTTAGAGTAAACATGTATTTGAAGTCATTTAAATGTAAATTCATTCGTCTTGGCAATACTTCACATTTGTATGAAACATGTCCACTTTGCCTTTCTCAATATACTGAGTGATGATTTATCAGTTTTCAGGTAGCCGAACGATGTGAATCTCACCACCAATAATCTCTTAAAGCAATTCTAAAGTTAACAAGTGGCTGGGCTATAAAATAGGTAGCAATTAGATATTGCGATTTGTATAACACTCTCGTGATTAAGATTTTAATAGCTCGCCTCTGTCGAAATACAGATGTATCTTATCAAAGCGAGACATGAGAAAGTACAGAACGTAGCGTGTTACGCTTATTGGAAATATACTACATATTTTATGTATGATGGCTCCATTTTGTCTATGAATTATTGTTACCATGGGCGTTTGTTAGGATTTGATCGCGATGTTTTACTAACTTTCAATGAGTAAACTATTTAGCAGGAGCTAGAAAAGATGTTTTTTTTTTCAAATACAAGCTTAAAGTAGTTCTGGAAGAAATGCAGAAAAAATCCTGTTTCCCTCGAAACTGGTTCTGGTAGCTTTGCAACTTTGTAAGTGTTTCTATGCGCTCTCAAATACGTGTGATCATTCAAAATTGGTGACAGAAGTGTTGTTCGAAGGAAGTCACACACTATCGGATTACTGAAACTAGGTCTGCCTGATAAATATTTTCAATGTGCATTCTTTCAGACGTCAAAATTGTGTGATAACTTTGGCAAAAAGTATGGAAATTTATGGTTTTCCCCTTATCTTTCTAACATAAATCAGAAAGTCGATTAAATAAATCCAATTGTATTGATTCTATACTCAGTCATATATCTGAATATCACTGATTGCCAAAGACCTCTTAAAACTTGACGACGAACAATGAGGTGGTAGAATGTGCGTGAAATTGGTGGAAAAAAGTCAACAATTATTGTCGCGACATATTTTATTGCTTTGGTTTATCTTTCAGAAAAAAAGTATTGGAGTTTCATAATCTGATTTAATAGGAGATATTTGATGTGATTTAAGCGTACTCATGCTGTGTTATTAATCTTTTGCAGGAACAATGAGAAACGAAAGGAAAAGTCACGGGATGCAGCTCGTACTCGTCGCTCGAGGGAGACAGAAATATTCACTGAATTGGCACAGTCTCTTCCGCTGCGCCGAGAAGAGGTTGACCAATTGGACAAGGCGTCAATTATGCGACTCTCAATTGCATTTCTCAAAGTGAGAAATATGCTAGAGCTCTGTGAGTGTTCATTGTCTCTAGATTTCCATCAATTTGGTTGGGGTTTAACGAATTTGTAATAATGCTTCAAAAATGTCCAATGATTAGTTTATTTCGAAACAAATTTTTGCACACTTTGGAAAGCGGTGTGAAGTGTTTGTTTTGGAAATTTCATGAGAAGAATGATGCAAACATTGGCCAAATCTTGGAAGTTCATAAATTAATTATCGTTACTTTCTAATGTCGTTCAAGTGGAATCCAATAGGGGGCGCACAACTTTACGATTGTGTGTCTTGGGTAAAATCACTCTCTTATCATTTACTGTGGATTTTTATAACATTTCAGTTCCAAAGGCAAACAATGTGCTGAAGGAAGATTCCGTGGATGATAATGAGAATGACGTGAAAGACCTGGTGGCAATGCCAAAGTACTTTGAGACGGAAAAGATGATCCTTGGTGCTCTGGATGGATTCCTTCTCGTGTTGTCGACTGAAGGAGACATTACATACATCTCGCAAAATGCCGCTGAAATCCTGGGTATTCAACAGGTGAGTTTGGTGGTGCAATGTATTTTTTCTGATTCTAATTTCCTTCGCGAAACCCTTTCAGATTGACCTACTTGGTCAGCCAATTTGGGATTACAGCCACCAGTGTGATCACGAGGAGTTGCGCGAGGCACTGAATGTGAAGAAGAGTGTTGCTGATGATGGAAATGGAAGTTGCGTGCAGAGGAGCATCTTCATTCGTCTCAAATGTACATTGACGAGCCGCGGAAGAAGTGTCAACATCAAAAGTGCTTCTTACAAAGTAATTCACATCTCCGGGCATATTGCCACGAATGTCTCATGTGATGGAAAACGTGAATTTATTGGTATTGGGAGACCAATGCCACATCCGTCTAATATTGAAATTCCACTCGGCTCGAGGACATTCTTGACCAAGCATTCACTGGACTTGAAATTCAGCTATGTTGATGAGAAGTATGTCAGAGATATTGATGGGCGATGAGAATTCAATGAATTTTTTTTTCTCATCTGTATTTCCCACTTTCAGAATGCACTCACTTCTTGGCTATCAGTCGCAGCATTTACTGGGAAAATCACTGTATGAACTTCATCATGGTGCAGATTCGGATAATCTCATGGGAATGTTCAAGAGCTGTAAGTATAGAAAATGACTTTTTTTCCTCTCTCTGTGACATTGTAATTATGTCGGTGGGGAAAATGGGCAGAAAGAAATGAAAATTGGTTTTCTTAAGTACATTGACGAATATTATAGCAATTATTGGCTATAAATCAACATTTTGCTCTATTTAATTTGCATATAAATGTATGGTTGTTTGGTAATTTTTCAATTTAACTAATGCATATTATTTCTAGAGAAAAGATAGATAAATTATGCGTGGGGAAATATTGTGTAGACTTGTTGTGTAGATACAAAGTGTGGTTGTTTCTCTTTTGAGGTCTCCTGAATTCGAAGAAATAACATCAATATATCGTGTAGTTTGAATGCTGAAAGCCATTGAGATTAATCTAATTGATCATTTTCACTGATCAAGTTAAGAATTAATTGCAATTTAAATTGAAATTTATCTTATCTCGAGGAGGTGATTGAGTGTAAAGGTGTTTCTCTCCAATGATTTTTTTTCCATAATGCCACACAATTCATGCTCTGGCGCTGAGAGTGGTTGAGAGGGAGAAAAAGTTTCTGTCTGACAATGAATATAGAATAGACTTGAGTCAATTATTAATTAAACTCAAAGACACATGATGTACTGAAACGCTGTGATGACATAAGTTGTATATCGAATGCTATTCTTAGATTGTGCGGCGTAATTTTTCTTACAACTCTTACTTTCAATTGGCACAGATTAGGCATCATTTTGCATCAGTTTCTAGAGTGCGAACTCTCTAGATTTATGGCACACAATGTGCGTGCTTTTGTATTGTGTGTAGCATTTATTGTGGAGGTGAATGGTATTGCATGGAGAGAGAGACAGATGTTGGACTCTGTTGACTAGTATCATGGCTGTTGAATGGTTAAATTTACTCGATATCAGCACAACATAGAGAATTGGTAAAATAGTGTCATGTGTAGAATGGAATATAATTTGATGGAGACAGCTTTGTCAGTCCGTTAAACCGATGAAGGCGATAAATTTATAGTTTAATATTGCACTCAATGTCTGATAGAATTACATATGTTTTCTCTAATTGAATATATAAAGTCAAATGATTCTAGTGTTCTCTTTTAAATGGCTCACTAGTGAGATGGAAAGGAGAATGGATTGAGAGAACACTGACTTAAAGTTCTACTTTAGTGTGATTTTTTTTTCCTTCTATTTCACTCAAAGCTGTGCAGTATAAAGTTGATTAGAAAGGTCTTTGTTCTTAAATGGTGTGCACACCAATGTCCTCAATTGCATTTGAGAGAATATAAAAAATATAGAGAGATACATATTGCAAAAGGGGGAGTAATGGAGAAAAAAAAAACTAATCTCCCACTATAAAAAGTGTAGTTACATTTGAGCATGATAGTGTATCTGTATGACATGTTGATGGTATAAATTCGTAATTCATCTAAATCATCAGTTGACATGTGATTTTGGAGCGCTGCACCCTTACTTTCATAGTAGAATATTTCATATTTTCATTCTTTTTGCGTGACGACAAGAACAATACACCTTATGTTTAATGCATATATAAATTTCATTTAATTTGTCTTATGCTCGTACAGCTTTTGCAAATACACGACTTCTTGTGGGTCAAAGTTTTTATGGTCACAATGTATTTTTGCTTGTAATTCAGGGCACTGTTGCACTTCATATTTTTCTATCATGGAATATTATTTATTGCACGAAAGGGTATCTTAAATGAAATGTGAAATAAAGATGAGTGAGTAATGTAGTCTGAGATGCTTAACAGAAATGGTGAATATTGTTTTATGAATTTTGTGTAAGTCAGAATTATTGCTCTGTGAGTAAAAATTTCTGCACTTTTGTCAAGTAATGAAATGATAATTGTTTGTGTTTTCACCAAGGCCACTGAAAATTTATGCTAATCCATCGTGAAATTGATTAAATGGCGAGGAGGATTTATAAAATACATTGTCTTCACCACAAAGTAATAGATTGAAGTGACAGAGAGAAAGGCGTGGAGAGAGAGAAAAAACTCTCTGTGATACTTTCCTGCTTGTTGGAGGAGAGGAAGAAGAAATAGAATAAGAGTGACAAAAATAAAAGTCTACGATCAACAAATTAACAATTAGACGGTTTCTATCTATAAAACTGTAGCAGTGTGTCTCGGTGATAAGCTTCAATCTCTTCTCTTCCTCCCAATATGAGTTTTATATAGGAGACAATTTGGAGTGGGAGAGTGTATATGTAAAAATAGAAATGCATGTGAGGATATCTGCTCAATTTGCTACACTAAACCGTATTATATCTGTCGGGAGAGTAGAGAGGAAAGCAGAAAAGTGATACTATGGCTGAGCATAATACACATTGATGGCTTTTATTTTATATTCGAAAATAAACTGAATTGACCTTGTGGCGATATATGAAATTTTTTGAGCTGCAGATATACTCCTCAGTGATGCGTGAGTGTACGAAAATAAATCAAAGAATTCACAATGTCCACCTTAAATGAAAAGAATGTGCAGTAATATTTGGCATCTGCGTAAAATTGTGAATATGCAATAATCTTTTATCGTGACTTTTTTATTAACTTTGTCGATTTACGACATGGTGTGTTTCTTCATTACTCGTTTTTTTTTTCTTAGGAAAATGTAACATTTCATATTTGCAAATTGAAATAATAAAATTGAATGATACATTTGTTGAGCAGTGAAAGAGAAATTTTGAGCATAGACAGGAATCTGAAAATGCAAAGGCAGTGGAATTTATCGCAGAGAGTAAGAATACGTCGTGATATCATGAAAAATAGTTGAATGAATAGGATTAGAAAGTGTTCTTGGCGACAGTGTGAAGAATTACGCGAGACAGAAACTTTCTTTATTATATTCTGCTTTCTCTCTAAAAAAAAAATCATCTTACATGTGTAGAGATATTTGATATATTTATCTATACAATACTGCAAATTACATCTTTTTTTCTTGTCGCTTGGAAGAAGATAAACAAACATTTTCAACTTCAACTCGTGTTGGTGGTATTTTTAGAGATTCATTTAGAAAATTTATTACGGAGGAGGCAACACAAAGTCAAGGTTTGATTTCTTGGCACAGTTCTTTGACCCAATCCGATTTTGTGATGTGCCATCGGAATGGCATGAAGTCGATAGTAATGCTTATTTAACTTGAAGAATTGCCGAACATTTGAAATTCACAGGGAATTATATAATTTATCTGATGATAATTCTCAAAACAATTCTTCTTCGACGTTTATTATGTTGGTTTGAATTTTAGGGAATTCTTAATTGTTTCGTTGATGATAATTACCAGTATTCACAATAGTATTTGTCGAATTTTATTGGCAAACATCTGTACAATTCGCAACAGTTTGTCAAGTTGTCTGATAGTGTTATGTAATTTTGTTTAAACGAGGTCAAGTCACATGTGGTAATTAGAAGTAAACACGCCAATAGGGCCACTTAGCGAATCTCAGAGCAAATCAATTGTTTGTAAATGGTTCATTTTATTATTTAATACACCAGAAGTGTCTTCATTGAAAGAATGGGAATTGTAGGTGAACAACCCCAGAAGAAATTGTCATGTTTCATAGCGAAATTCAACTTGACAATTTTCCATCTGACTTCCTCTAGTTTTGAGAGCGTCAACCATTGGTACTCATTTGCCAGTTGGTATGTCTTGTGATTGTCTGTTGTCATTTTGTCCATTCAGTGCTCAATGGCGTCGTCATGATGACAATTTTCATTTGATGAAAAGCTTCATTACCGCTTTACATAAAAGCAAATTACTCGTGTAGGTGTCGTCTCTCTAGTTATCTTTGTGTCTCATTAGCAATTTCTCTCTTTCTCTCTCTCGTCTTCACCTATAACTTACTTTTATACATATACAACCAATGAGATGTCCGATGATTGTGGAAAGTTATGCCAATCAAGAATTAAATTGACTCTATTCGTATGTATTTTTGCACAAGCTTCAACCGCATCTGTGTGCGGCGTAGCTTTGAAGTTTGGAATGGCAAGGACTCTTCGAAGTGTTGTGGGTGGCATGAAAAATTGCATGACTCTCATCAACAAGTTGGCGGAAAGTTTTGTGTGCTTAATATAATATAACTATATACTGTTGGAGGGATATTTTGTGGCGTGTTGTAACATTATGAGAAACTTTTCAATTGAAAAAGTCGGTTTGTGACTAAATTTATTGCTGTTGAAGTGCAATAACTCATCGTATTGGTTTGTCAAGTGCATTAAATGATGATTGGCGATATTTTTTCTTAAAGTCTCACTGAAAATCAATGATCATCTGTACCTAGCTACTATTTTACTTGAGATACACTTCTAATTGCAATTATTCAGTGGAATGTACAACAAAGTACATATCAGTTCCTCTGAGGATTTCGTTGAACTGTTAAAATGGTTAAAAAGTTCTGCGGAATTTTTATACAGAAGTTGTAAGAACAATAGATTATTTCCGAAACGATAAAAATCCTCTCGAATGACACCAAAAGTTGCTCCGGATACAAATTTATATGCGATTGGATGCAGTTTCATGCAATTTGCTTTACTATAAATTTATTTTTCTTCTTTCTCATACCATTATTATGTCTTACACTGGGGACGAAGTTTCTTATTTTAGGAAAAATTTTAAAGATATTTTTCCCGTTGCTGTCGCGACAATTGTCTTCAATGGAGTTCAAAGTGGCACTTTTATGGCTCACTATCTGTTGAAATGGCCAATAGAATAGACAAATAATGTATGGATTGTTTTGAAACTGAAACTAAAAAGGAACTGACTATGAAATATTGAAATTCTATCAATGCAATTTGTCCATTACGCAATTCTCTGAAGATAATTTGAAGTGAATTTTGCTTAGAGACTTACAAGATTTAATTTGAATTATTTAAATTCGAGTCCTTTTATTACTTTATAAAGAATTTCTGCAGTTTCATTTGAGATGTCTTTTCTCGTGCTATGTCAACTCCCTGTGCAGCAATGCAGTGCTGTGCAGGAGAAAATCCTTTCTATCGTAAAATATCTCAAGGAGAAATATGGACTTGTATAAATTTCATTTAACTACTCCCTCACAACCAGGTGATTATTGTATTACGCTAAAATAGATTTATACACGAGGTATCTTCTGTACGCTTAAATAATATAAAATGCTCGGGGTGTTTGAGATGGAAAAGAGTAGTTTTTACTGCTGACAGAATGTGCAGAATGGAAGTGCATAAGCCAACACATAGCATCAATATGTAAGGCGGAGTGGGGTTGAGAGCGCGCGAAAGGAAGCCGGGCAGATACAATTGGCGGGAGGGTGGGTGAGATTGGAGATGTGCTTGAATGAATATACCACGTCGCGCTGGCGGTGGTGCTGAGGGAGAGTCAGAAATGTAGTGTACTACGAGTGGCAGTCAGCTGCAAGTCGATGCACTTGAATGAGGGTGGCCAAGTCGGTCGACAACCCCTCAATTGTTGTTATGGGTGGTGGTTGGATGATGGCGTGCCGTGGTAGATTGGAGCTCAGGGTTGTGTAAATACACATTGCATGTGCATGGGTAGAACTTTGCAGTATACTGCACATTTCTTTGCTGTACAGTTGCAATCGAGGACGATGAGGAGGCGCTGGGGAGGGATGGAGGGACGAAAAATGTAAAAGTCATTCTGTGGTTGCAACCCGAGGAGCATTTCGTTGTTGAAAATGTTCACCCAAAATTATTGTGAGTTTGTCACGGCGTGGTTGGGAGTAAGTTGAAAGTTGAATGGCTGAAAACTGCCGGAAAATATATGATGCTTTTAGATGCGGTATGAAAGATGTATATCGCTGCCTTGAATTGAATATAAGTTTAGCATTGTCGTGCTAGTGCCACACTAAAATACTTATTCCCCTTAATGGTCTTATCTGATTACAGCAAAGGGAAAGATGCTGGGGTGGACAAATTGTTTGTGGAGTTGAAACTCTTGCCCGTGCATTTGTAGCTGAGGAATATTATAATAAATTTACGAGTTTCTGGACGATAAACTTTTTAGATAGTGGAGTATTATTCAGTTCCTCCCCTAAATTTAATCTCATGGCGAACGAGGAGGAGCAAAATGGGTGAAATTCAAGCTCTGATGCATTTTTGAGTACAAACCCTATTTTAATTATTCGCAATGGAAACAAAACTGCATTTATTGGGTTAATTGGAATTTTTAATAGTTTAATTTGCTGTAATGACACCACAAGCGCGAGAGGGAATTTAATTTCATCGCTTTCAGCGAGACATTATCACAATTGGCAGGGTGGTGAAGACAGAGAAAGACTTTTTCTTAAAAGCTTTTGCTCATTAACAGGTGGATTATTTCACCTATTTCACATGGTTTAAGTGTGTGAAGTTGGGAATCAGCAATTGAAGGCTTTATCACAAAGATAGCATTTTATCGAGGAGAGAAGTCTTCTGTGGATAGTGCGATACCTTACTTGGTTGAGTTTAATAGATTAAAGGAGTTCAATAAACTTCTAATCTAATATGTATTGATATGTCGTCGGATTGGCACTAAAACAAATTATTCGGTAACTTGTATGTAATGTACACATACAGTTCAGTACTTTATGGGCTTTTTCGGTTCTGCACTTATGTTCTTCAGAGCATAGTTGATAATAATTCCGTAACGCTGTGCAGTCGCACATTATGTATGGTGGCGGATGATAAAGCATGCCCATGTAAATTTACATAGCGAGATTCATTGTCCAAAATTGATGTGTTGAGCATATTTTAGGTGGCTGAGGAATGATAATCCTCCTGTATAGTGAATGAGGTGTTTAACAGACTCTCATGCATGTGCAGTATAAGATGATGTCGGAATTTGTAGGGTGTGGAACAATAGACAAATAAAGGGGTGAATGTTCTTATGTATTCATTTCTGTACGGTTCAGAGGGATGAGGGAGACTCTCTGTGAATTTCAACTGCATCTCTGGCACGTCACAATAGTAAAAGTTGCTTTAATGGTGAAAAGTAGTGGAGAGGGAGTTGATATTATCCTTGCAAGTGAAACTGCACAGAGCATTGTTGGAGTCACCTTTTAGAATGTGTACACCACACTTAAGTATTTTCTATTTAAATAATTAACTTTTTCAACGACTAGAGTGTAAGGGTGAGTGCAGCAAATGAAAACGAGTTGTGACCAGTAAAATTTCTCCTTGATGTAGTGCAACAAGTTGAAATTCAGCGCAAGTAGATTGTTTGGGTTCTATTATACCTTTTTCTCTAACTCAAAATTAAAATTTGCATTGCTAATTTATTTGAAGCTGAAAGGTATTTGCCTCCAGTTTGTTTATAACTTCATATACCTTTGTGCACAGTCTCATTTTGTGATATTTCTTTTCTCCTCTCGCGTATAATGCATGTAGAATTGCAGTTGAAAGGTAGTATTTTGATAAAAGACACCCTATTAAAATTCTGTCCCGCAGCAGATATGGTTGTTTTCGGTACGTTGATTCCGCGACTGTGTGCTCAATATGTTTTGCCGAGCGCAGAACAAAAAAAAACAACATGCACTATTGATAATGGAGAATGATGAATTTTTTTTTTCACAATTTTTACCCTGAGCGATGCACTCGGTGCTTGCGTTCAATGTACCTGACAAATCGTTGGGAAAAAGGTATCATCCTCATCACATCATTCCATCACATGATACCCATCCACCGCACATTGGCAATGAGAAATCCCGATACTGTAGGAAAACTCACTTACCTTTCACAACCTGGAATGTGCAGTACATGTGCCAGCGTCGCAGAAGCTGTGCAAATGAATGCACACCGATGATGAGTTTGAGAAAATGTAGGTGTGATAAGAATTTCATTAAGTTCTAAGCGAGGGGGAGATTATGAAAACATACGAAAAACCCTAATTTCATCACTGTATCTCCCTGGTGAAGAGATCTTTGTGTGGGTGGATCAACTGCATAATCGTAAATTTGAGGTGGAAGTTTATAGATTGGAAAAGAAGTTGAGGTATTTTAGAAATCCTTATCATTTTGAAGAGTGAAGAGTGCAAACAATATGAAAGGTGGATGTCATACAAGTGCAATTCTAATTTGTTGGAATTGTTTATACGAATGTACACATAATATTGCTGTCTTTCTCTTATATTTGTGATAAGAAAAGAGTATAAAATGTGGGAGGGCATTAGCTACACAATTTGGTATAAAAATATGAGTAATATTGGTGAGAGAGGAGGTGCAGCGGGAAAGTTATAATTCCATTAATATTGCAACACACGGAAAAGAGTCCTTGGGGGAAGTGAGCAGAGGACAAATGTGGGTGGCTTAGAATGATGGTGCAACGAACTTGCAATCCCTGTTTTATAGTATATTTGGCTTTTGGGTGAAATGTATAAATATAGTGCTGCTCACACACCAAATGTTTGTGTACTTTTAGTGTTTTGTATATTACATAACATACATATTAATGTGAACTGAGTATGGAAAGTGCAGCAAAATATAAAACACATTTGTTTGTTTGACATTTGTTGTGCCACTCTTGGATGGCAAGAGAATGGTGGTGATATTAAGCGGAGGGAGAACAACGACAAGTAGGGACAAAATTATTTCTGCACTTTCTACATTTATGGTACTTTTGCATTGATTGGAGTTGTGATTTTTTATGAATTTTACGGCTACCTTGATTCATCAAATTACTGAGTTGGAAACTTGTATGGTTGCAGAACAATTTGAGCAAGAGTATTTTTAAATGGTCAAATTGTGCTGTAAATTGAATGTCATTTTCTGTTCTTTTCTTAACTGGCGAAAATACAAAGAGGCAAAGTTCCTCTCACAGTCTACACACTGCATAAGCTTTTTCATCATCATGATTAATGTTATGTGTGTGTTTTATTTTTCTGCAAAACTTTTGACTTCTGCTCTGAATTGTGGTGTATCAAAAGCAGTACATGTGTGTGGTGTGATTATGAAATTTATACAAAGTACCATGAGTTGTGCTACAAGGTGCAGCTTTCACACTTCTTCTGGTCTGAAGGGAAGTTGGAAAGTTGTGTGCGTGTGTGTGTGTGTGTGAGGGAGAAGAGGATGGGTTAGATTAGTTGTGAAGGAAATTGGTGAAATGTTTTGTATAATTTGCTACTCACGAAAGGATTAAATTTATGGATTGGTTAGTTAGCAAAATCTCTCATTCTTGGAAACTGCGCGGTTGGTTGGGTGAGCAAATGAAGGAAAAGTTGCAACTCTGTTTTTGTTTGCTTAATAAGTTTAATACACGGATGATGACCTCGACTGTTTTTGGGGAACAGAAACATGGGGTTTGATGAACTTTCTTAAGGGTTTCACTTGACTCTCACATGCCATTTGTTTATTGTTCAGCATTTTCCAGTCACTCGATGCAATATTTGCTTTAATATATTTTAATATGCAAGTATCAATTCAATCAAGGGAAAATACTGGTTGTGCTGCATGTGATTGTCCTTGCAGTTTTTTGACATGGAGTTTAAATGGCGATGAATTGGGTTAAACAAACATTTTATCGAAGAAGTGTATTTTTTTATTTGCATTTTGTCTGTGTATTGGGATCAGGTGCATTGTCCGCCTTTGAATTTTCTATGTGACTTTAGTAGAGCAAAATGTTTAGGCGATATGTGGGTATGTTTTTATCAAACACCGTTCATCTCTATTAATTCTCGAAACTTTTTCTCTTTCATATCGATATCACTTGTGCAGTGCTTAGCAAGGGCCAAATGGAAACAAGTGGATATCGCTTTCTGGCTCGCTCTGGAGGATACGCCTGGGTGGTGACTCAAGCAACGATTGTCTATGATAAGCAGAAGCCACAGAGTGTCGTCTGTGTAAACTATGTGATCAGGTGAGTCTGAAAATAAACTTATGGATTAAAGTGGCTTCAAGTTGCAAGACACTCATTTCAATTCTCATGCAATGCAAGCGTGGGTTAAGATGAACTAAGCAGAGGGTGGATGTAGGGATTTCATCTCTGTGAATGATTATTTCAATGATGATATAAAATTTCGACTGAATCTGGGGATGTCTTACGGTGTGCAATAAATTTCGTCTGTTTCAATCCTCAATCGTTGGGTGGGTCTCGGTGAAGTGCACAAATAAATACAAACATATTGTGAGACATTCGGAATATGCACACATATCCTTTTGTGTCAATTGAAATAGAGAGAGAGAGAGAGAAGGCAGGATTGTTGAGGGAATATTAGAGGATTAATCTATGAACTATTTTCCACAGCAGCAATGCAAAGGATTGCCTTTTTGTGCTTTACAAAGAAATGTGTCTTTTGGGGAAGATGTGAGCAATCGTATGTGAAGCGTGTGAAAAGCAATTTCGATTAAATTCGTCCCAAGCGTAATCCATATAGAGGAGTATCGACATTTTTCCGTTCTCCCCTTTTTTAAGAAATAAAATGCACTCCTTTCGTGTCAATGAAGTCATAAAGAATTCCACTTTATGGTTTTCCTTATCATTGAGACTGTCACTAGTGGCATGACTATTTTAACAAGAGTGAGAAAGTATTTTTATGAGTGCAAATACCCTCGGCGCACATTTCAAATTACGTTCCATCACTTCAAATTCTGTGTGTTCAATTTCGTCCATTTTAATATAAATTTCATCAGAGAAATTTGGGATGATGAGGAGAGTGGGAGTGTCTCTATGAAGTGTCTCTTCTCCTCTTCATTTGATTTTATTACTTAATCAACACTTGAATGAATATTCCTTTTAAGACGTCTACTGTATATGCATGCGTCAATTTCTTTTCTTCTCCACATAACATATATACATACATATAGTTTTATTCGACGTATCAAATGTCAGTGGATTTTACTAAGAGGAAACGACTCACTGGGATTATCGTACAATGGGTACATTGCGAGAGGGTGAAATATATGAGCGGCAATGTGGAAAGAGAAAAGAGATTTCCACATAAAGAGAGGGAGTGAAAATTTTTCAGATTTTCCTTTTCTTATTTACTCCCCGACAAAAATCAAATCCAATTCATTCCACAATACTTTCTCACGCTCAATCCTCTCCCTTCTAAGAGATATGGTACATAGATTTTACAATTTATATCAATGAGTGGGTGTCCCATAGTCGTGGGCAACATATCTTTTCCTATAGTTTGGGGAATGCTCCGAGACATTTCCATTACACTTTAATCAAAATTTAGTTTCTATGCTCGACTTGAGGTGCTTTTTAACGCCCCTAATCAAGATGAATGGAAAGTTTCTCCCTTTTCAAGATTAGGAAAATGTTTGAAATTGTTTATAAGACAATACTGATTCCTAGCATTAAGCATGAGAATATGAAATGATAATTTGTGCAACTTAACATCTCGCTTTCAGGCTCGTAAAAGGCTCAATCAACTTCCATTTGCAATCTCAATAGATGATAGATTATATTTGTAAAACATTAGACGAGGAGATAAACATTTTTTTGATGAGTATGACGTGTTATGGTGAGAAAATTTTTATTGCAAATTCTTCCTATTTGTGTGGTGGAATGAATAACAATGCGGCGTACATTATAAGTGTGGAAAATTATACAGAGAGGCTCTTCTTCGCTATGGTGCCACACATACCTAATAGTTTGAGAATGGGTTTGTGGTGTGGCGTCACGCAAAGTAGCATGTTTTCGCATTTCTATAGGAAAGGAAAAGGTGTTATTTTTCGGTGAGAATGAAAAATCAAGATAAGGTCAAGTTCAAGGTGTTGACAAACTCGATAATCTCTATATGGTCACAATCACAAATAAGTTTATGTGAAGGTATATTTCCATGGGTTTTATTCTCATATTAATTGCATAATTGTGCTCTACTTGAGTACTTGAGAGCGCAAATATACTGTCATGTATCACATGAAACTATACACTAAAAGTGTGATCATGAATGAAAAGGCAGAAACGTGCATGCGACGTATTTAATTTTCAACACTTAACATTTTCTTCCAACTTGTTTAATTATAGTGTATGAGGGATTTTATAGTGTTGATCTGTTTTTCACGACAATGAACATTTTAATTGTTTCGAATGCAAATTCATCTCTATAGGCTGTATATATGTGACTATAGTTTATTTATCATTCTGTGCTATAGCGAAGTGAGACTTGAGCTTTAAAAATACCTCTCATTCTTCAGTATGAATAGTGCCAAACTATCAGAGTCCGTCAACTGCACAGGGAATGAATGAACTGAATTTGTGAGGATGAGATATTGGGAAAATGTGTGTCGTATTCTTTCGTTGGTCTCGAAGTCTCTTTTTGTAATAGTTGATATGGGTTGCAACGTGAAGTCCGGATGTGAATATAGGACTGAATTGATGGACTTAAGGTCAAGGCTTCCTATTTATTTATGAGATAGTAAACAGTCTATTTTTCTCTCCTTTTCTCAATTGATCCCAGATAATGCTATCAGTGATGCTCAATTTTCACGATGTTAGAAAATATAATTGTTTACTTTAAGTTTACTCTCGATTTTTCCACTTTTTTCTACATCAATCTGTCCAGTGTGAGTTTTTTTTTGTTGCTTTTCATTGTCCGGGAATTGTTATTAGTGTGATGAAATTTTCATGCCAAATTGATGGATTACGCCAAAGTGGAGAAGTGTATATTGCAGTATAATTTACATAATGTGCGAGTCTATATAAAATCAAATGACTTATGAAAATTCATATAATGAGTAAATTTTGTATTTTGGCACCCGAAATGACTTCCATCTCTTGAGAAATTATCGTGCAAGATGGGATATATAAAGGTGTATAATGGCGTAATATAGAGGATGCCTTTCTTCAAAGTCTTCTGCATTTCCATATTATTCTTATTTTCCTTTTGGCTAAGGGCCTCTCGACGAAATTTACCCAGTATAGTTTCTCGTAGAATGAGAAGATCCAGATACGGGAATCGTAAGAGGTGAACATAGTGCAAAAAATACTTTTTGTATATAATGTAAGGCAATTGAGTTTTATTATATGGTTAGAGAAGCGTCTCGGCATACGCAGTCGCTTTGGGGGATATGTGTGTATTAAGTAAATGAGAAGGACCCCAATAGAATACTGCGAAAACCTTCTAATTTTGACTCTCTGTGGAATTTTCACAAGCTTTTCTCGGCACACGTGTCACACAGACAATGAAAATTGTGTGTGCGTGAGGAGCTTTGCCATCCCATAAGGATATATGTATCTGCACAGCTGATTATGTGCTTCTGTATGTGTATTTCGGAGAGGCGTTGTGTATTTATCGTCCTTTTTTTCTCATGTTCTCTCTATACGCAAGTAAATGGTACATAATGTACGACATACATCCATGTGGAGGAAAGCTCCTTATTGGGAGAACTGAGGGAGGAACTTTTGATTACACTTTTCGACACCAGTCAGTCTAGCAGTTTGAAATTGTGCGACAACGAAGGCACATTGTCGGAGTGAATATCCGATTTTGGGTCCTTTTCTGGGAGGAGTCTCTTGGCTTATGCAACAAAGGCACATTATTTTACTGTGATTTTGCTTTTCTCGCATCCTTTCCTCCATATAAACGCCCTCATTTTATGCTGTTTAAGTGTGTTTAGGGGAGTTTTTTTTTCTTTGGTTGAGAAGTTAATGTGTCTTGTGGCATTATGTAACGAAGGTTGTTTCGATTTAGGAAGCGGGTTACCAGAACGCTGGAATTTATAATAGCCGTGCGTTTTGTGATTAATTCCATTAATTAAAAATACATTAGGTAATGTTTGCTCAAAATACGTATTTATTTATACATGAAGTTGGCTAGAACTATGATTTATCAACACCCAATCAGAGTAAAGATAATAAATCTATAAGAGAGGCTTTAAGGTGCGAAATGCGAGTATAGAATTTACCTTAATCTCAAGATCACCTCAACGATAAGTCCAAGTGCTTCTGCGGCTTTTCGCTTGTCAAGTAAGAAAATGTAATTTGCGTTTTATTAAATCAATTTTAATAAAATTTGCATGGGTGGTGAAAGTTGTTGGTGTCCTTCGAGTGACAAAATATTCTACGGCTTTCATCAAAATAATCTGTATAACGTAGGACAGAGGTCTTCATAAATAATTCATGTAAGTGGTGGAAAATCCACTTGAATTTTCATGCGTCTTCCTAAATAAATTGAATTTCGCTTTAAAGGACGGAGAGAATTTGGTGAAAAAGCACCTATTCACCACTATCAATAGATTGTTTTTCTGCTTATCAGCCCCTCTGACATGGTGGAAATTCAATAAAATGGCCATGGGGAGCGATGCTGTGGAAATACATAGTGATAGTCGTGTGCTTGCAATTTTCTGTCTGTGTTGGGAGCTTCTCACTCTACAGTCATTAATCACTTTGATGGACAGTGAAGCATCAATTGTGGTGTTTCGTCTCTAGTCGCCCCGAACCTACCTCAAAATTATACTCAATATAACCATGGATAAGTTCAGGGTGGAGGATTTTTTCGTGCGGCAATGTGTTTAATTTATTCAGTATGTAGTACTGGTCACATGTAGAGAAATTCCTTTACCTTTTCGCCATGTCTCTCAAATTTTTTTCCGTCACGCTCACAGAGGGTGGAAAATACAGTGCGAAGTTATAAAGTGGCGAAGCCAGATGAATTTGACGATGAACTTGGATGAGAAGAGATAATTAATAAATAAAGGCACGCTCCGGAAAAAAGGCGAAGATGAAATTCGTGAACAGTTGCTTCTTTCATATCGTCGTCTCTTGTATACAGAATAGCATCATAGTATGGTGGCACTTTTTCCCTTCTGGCCTATTCTTGGCACTGGGCAAGAACGTGGGTGGGGCTCTGGCGGAGAAAATAGGAAGAGAGCTCCAGCACGTGTAAAACAAATATTTATATTTATGTA